TAATATATTCTTGTATTATTTTACTAAAAATAATAATATTATTAATATAAGTATGTTAAAAATGCTTATAATTATTTAACCGTTTATCTATAAACTGTTAGGTATAGGAGGGCGAATTTTTGAAACCTATTAGGGCAACTAGGTTAATTTCCAAACCTCGATAGGTAATTAATACTATGCGGTTTTAATACTAAAATTATACTGGGAGTTAATAGAAGAAAGCCGATTTATTAAAGACTGTAAAGAATATATAGCTAATAAGCGTATTAATAATCTCTTTTTAATTAGGTAAGGGGTAAGTATTAGAGATTATTATATAGTTTAGAGCTTTAAGATTAATAATTACCCTTCCCTTTCTAACGTTATTAACGGTTCTCTAAATAATAAAAATTAGATATTTAAAGGGGGTAGGGTATTTTATAAAGAGTAGTTTGCTTTAATTTCAAAGTTTGCCGAAGGTATTGTTAATTACTTTTTATTCTTCGAACCCTAATTTGTAGGGTCGCGCTCTGACCTTTTTATTCTACTAGTTTTCTATTAGATTAATATAGAGATATTTATCCTCGTCTATTTTAATTATACCTTCGCCGTTCTAATAATTAAAGTCGTTAATAATCTTTCTTAATTACTTAGTTAATTTTCAATTAATATTAATAATACGAATACCGTCTTTAATTATTACTATAAGGACGCCCTCGGGCTTCCCTATCCCTAAGTTTTTATATTCTTCGAATACTTTAGGTAGGGGTTTTCTAGAAAGGTTGTATAGTTGAATTAGATCAATAGTATTTTCGGGTTTACTATTAATAACGCTTTTAAAGATAGGAAAATTTTTGTCCGAATAAGGTTTAGTATTTAACTTAATGGATTTAACGTTTTTATTACTCTTTTTAAGGGTTATAGATTTTTATTTTTTATGAAATATATTTAATACTATTAGTTTTAATATTAAATTCGCCGTTCTCTTCTCTTTTTCCTCCAGCTTAGGAATTGGATTTTTAATGCTAAGGTTATTTACTTTAAATATCTCGTTAAAAATTTCATATATAATATTTTTATTAGCGTTTATTAATTTTTCTATTACGTTATTAAAAACGAAATAATTGACGGGAGTAGTTTCGATAGTTAGATTAATTAAAATTGTTTTTTCCTAGCTAGTAAATATAAATCTATTGTCTTCAAGTTCTTTGATAATGCTGATTTTTTTCTTGCGGCCGATGGTTTTATATGTGTTAGTTATATTAGTAATTGTAATAGTTCGGACCGAGTTTGTGTATATTAATTAGTTAATAGCTCCATTAACTACCCTATAAAATATATATTCGTGAGGGGATCTATTAATGTCGGTCTTAAGGATGTTTCTATAGTCGATTTGGATTTATATAATTGATCGTAGCAGAATAATAGTTTTGGTCAGGGTTACTATTTAATGTCGCACGGGCGTTAATTTCGAAATAAATTCGAAGGGGAAAATAAGGTCCCTATAGGATTCAGGTATAATAAATTAACGGGGATAATTAATAATTATACAGTTTAAATCGAGAAATTTAGTATTGAAGAGTATATTCGGGTTAAGACTTACGGTAAACTATATTATAATAGTAAATTAACTTACAGTTTTAATACTATTAACTATTCTAGGAATTTAGAATATAATATTAATTTATTTGTTAGTTATAATTTTACCCTTTCTGATATAACTTATTAAGTATAGAATTGTTTTAATTACTTCGGCTTCCAGTTAATATTTTTTTTAAAAATGCTTATTGATTATAACCGTGGAATATCCGGAGTCGATGTAAATACTTTTAATATTAATACTGATTTTAATTTTAATTTTATAGTAGGAGTTTCTTTTAACGTAGCTATTATTTAACGGGGGTATAGGCTTTATTTTAATAATATTCCTTATCCTAAACTTAATATTTATAGCGGGAGGTTGTATTATATATTTGGATCTTAATACTATTACTTTCTTTTTTTTTTTACAGGACTATAGATATTTAATAGTATATATATTATAAATTTACTTCTTAAATTGAAATTTACCCGGCACTTCCAATAGGATTAATACTTATCCTTAACGGAGACTAATAAATGAGCAGATAAAGATATATTAGTAACCTTTTCCGGGTTATAGATTAATTTCTTATTCTTTTTTAAGACTTTTCCTCTAAAAATATAATTATATTCCTTTAAATATTCCTTTAATTCTTCCTTATCACTATATTTTTTATTAATAAGTTCCTTAATAGTATAATTATATTCCCCCTCTCGATTTAATTTCCTCTATCTTCTAAATTTCCTTTTAAATAGTCTAATATATCGCTTTAATAGCCTTCCTAACCTTTATAATATACTTCTATATTTAAAGCCTTATTTTTCCTATTTATTTTACCTCTATTTACTTCTAGTACCGGATATATATCTATTACTACCCCTATTTAATTTACTTCTATTTACTTCCTTTACTTTATCCTTATCCTTATATTAAGGCCGGTAAGAATTGTAACTTACAAAGGCCTCTATACCGCTATTAATAGTAATATAGTTGACTTCTATAGTCCTAGATTTTGTATTAGTACTTAGTATCGTTAATGTAGAGGGAGTTGTACTTAGCTTATAGTTTAGTAAATTAGTATATATTTTAGTTAAGACTTTAATAGTATTAATCTACTTGTATAATTTATATATATTTAACAGGTCAATGTAAATTTATTGAAGGCTAGGGTATATTCTAACGAAAATTTACGCCTTTAATTAATTGTCTAACGTTATATCTATTAATTTTGCAAATCTTATCCGTACCGTCGTATAAGCTCTAAAAGACTTACTACTTAGGTAATTATTACGAGAATAATAGTAATTCGATAATTTAATTACTACTTCGATAGAATGTATACTGAAAGATTTAAGTAGTATTATCTTCTATTTGTTTAGAGACGTTCTAAATTCAATATATTCTTAATCTAAAATTTATATTATATATTATTACTATACTATACTTTTAAATAGTTAGTAAAAGTTCTTTTTAATATAGTTCCTCTTACTATTATTATTAGTATTAGTTAAGATCGAATCCTAGAAGATTAAAATATTATTATAATAAACGTTATTACTGATAGTAATAGAGGTATTATCGCCTTTAACTTTAATTTCGGAATTGAAATAGCCGATCTATATAATTTTAAAAGTAGAAATCGGATTATTAGCATTTATAAAGTTCTCTATTAACTTGGAAAAATTAATTATAACATTGAGGGCGGAGCCCTCTATTCTAATTATAAACCTATTAAAATTTATAGGCTACCTGTAGGAATCTATATTAACCGGTTGATACTAAGGAGGAGATTAATATTATAAATATTATTCGGGGGGTATTAAATTGGCACATTTACTAACAAATAAATTAGTACTTTAATTCGTTTGTTTAGAAAAGTTTAGGGGCGGGAGGGGGTAATTTATTAAAGCGTAATTAAGTTCCGTCTAATTTATTTATTATATTTTAGGCTTATTAAATATTATCCGGTTAGGATATAAAATTAATTCTATATCCTCTAAGAGGCTTATAGGATATTAGGAGGTAGGGAATTTATAAGTGGATGTAATATAATATTAGGAGCGTTAATTTTTAATTTTACTCTACGTTAGGATTTTGAAAGTATATACTAGAGAGAAGTTAAGGCTGTACTAGTAGGGGTGTAACGAATGCTTAACGGACTATTTGCTTTATAATTAATTGGTTAAAGTAGGGGAATTATAGGAGAAAGTTATTAATAATTGGTAGACGAGCGTTTGAGCGGACCGGAAATTATTGCTAGGGAATAAAAGGGAATTCGAAATTTTATTTTAGAAATATAGGAATTTAAAACTACTATACAAGGGTAAATCTATGTAATTGAGCGTACGCCTCAATATTCTTCAAGGCTTTTGTAAATTTGCTAATATCATAGATTTAAGTTTATTCGAACTATCAAGAATCTTAATTTTAATTCCATTTTACTATTAATTTAAAGTAGGATTTTTCCAAATTAATTAATCTAGTAATAAAATTAATACAAATAGTAAAACTGATAATAAGGGATAAATTAATAGGTATAAAATTTTTAATATAAAAATCTTTAAACTATAAAAAGCGTTGGATTATAATATATGGGGGTGGAATTATTATTAGAATTCAACACAAAGGAGGTTAAAAGATACTAAAATATTTAATAGAAGATAGTTGAAAATCGAAGGACGAGAGGTTAGGGGCTCGTTAAATATAAAGTTAATTTAGTTCGTAATAGGCTAATTAGGGATGAGTATAGTAATATTTTATAGAAAGTACAATACCTCTCAATTGAAAGTAAATCGTCGGTAATTAGTCGAATATTATTAACGCAATAAACGACAGGTTAGCGTTTCATTAGCAGTCTTAAGGTAGGTAGTCACGCACTCAACGGATTATTAATGCGGGTTTTTAACGTATTATTAGCCTTTAATCCCAAACGGATTAGCGCTTTAGTTTATTAATTTAAATTCTAGTTGAATTAATTGAACGAGTTGCAGTTACTATTAATGCATAAGCACAGTGTAGCATAGAGTGTAGAATGATAATGAATTGATTAATTTAAGTCTTTACTTCTATTGACGCTCCAATTGTTAAGGCTATATGTACTCAACGAACGAAGGGTTGAGGCTTCCCCAGAGGGGGCGCCGTTGCTTCCTTCCATAGTCAACTAGGGTGCTCACGGGGAAACCCCGTGTCATCTTCAGTACCATTCTAAATTACATAGAATTCCCATTCGAGTATTACCAAAACTTTTCATTTTAGTTAGAAATTGGCAAAATTATAAGGGGTTAAAAATGAAGAGGTTGAATATGGGAGCTGGTGATGCAAATGCATGGAGGTGGGGGGGACAGTATTTTTTGATCGTTACTGTACCTACCTCTACTTATATGGTGAGATTATACGACTGGGACTGCTGCGTTCCACCGGCTTAGGAAGGAAGGGAGCTGCCGAGCCCCGCAAAGCAGCCATCTGCCTCACAATCTCGGCAAAGGGAAGCCCAAGACGTCTACAAACTGTTGAAAGAACATGAGACAAACCCATTGGCACCTTACATTCATGACCGACCAACTCCCACGGATGCTCGACATACTCGGCAAGTACAACATCAAAATCACTTACTTTGTCGAGTCATGGAGCCTCGCCGTCCATCCCACGGTCGTCAAGAACATCATCGCTCGAGGTCACGAGGTTGCTTGGCATGGCTACCAACATGAGCCACGGGTTTCACTTCCTCTTGAGGAGATGCGCGACAAACTTGTCAAAAGCTTTGAGATAGCTGAGGTGGTGGGGATAAAGTACGTCGGGTCCAGACTGCCTGGGGAGAAATAGGAAAGCGTATGTCGTGGGATCTGATGGATGAGAGAGGTTTGAAGTATATCTCACCAGTGGACCGTGAATTGAGCTGGTTCTCTCACCTCAATGATATTATAGTACTGCCCTTGGCGTGGCCCGAGGTAGACGCCTTCTACTATTTAGAAAGTTCGTCGATTAAAGGTCGGCCTATGGAAGGCAGAGAGCGGTCATGACGCCCGTCTATGCCAAGGAACACTTGATACATAGGTAAAATTGATCTTGTGTTGAAAGAGGATGGCCTTCTGTCGATCATATTTCACCCGTTCTTGCACACTAGTGGGGAGAAGCTTGAGGTTTTCGAAGATGTACCCAAACGCATTGCGATCGATGCGGACTTCTTCTGTGGCCCATGTCGAGACGTTGCGGCAGTGGGATGAGAATGAGGACGGAAGACAGGTCGAATGCCCAAAAGAGTGCGCCGCGGCAATACGATTACCTCGTCTTACCTTCGGCCCACTTAAATCATTCGATATTATCCCGAGAACACGAATGGACTTACACCGTGTTGGTCAGCGTCAGTCCTTACCTGAGGTAGGATTATCATCCCTGCTTCCCTCGGCCTAGATGCCTTGATCAATTCTATCTACCTACTTTCTGTCTCCCCAGTTGCCACCCCCTTCCTCCACAACCCTCAGCTTGCTTTCAGTCTTGTTCACAACTTCCCCGTCCTTCTGCAATCAAATCTCATCAAGAGCGAAGCTCACCACAAGATTTACCCAAACCCACCGCCAACACCCCCCATCAACAAACCAACGATGGCGTCCCGCGCTTTCTTCGACCCCCTCACTCTCCTCCGTCTCGCCCCCGCCATCAGCAGCACCGCATCCTTAACTCTAGCCTGGGACCAGCACTGGATGCTGCGCATCTTCACCCTTCCCGAACTCGAGCTCGACAGCAACTTGTATCTGCCCAAATGGTTCCACGCCTTCTTCCGCGCCGGCTTACCGAGCGTCCTGGCTTTTCTCTCAGTAACCATGACGACAGCGACGCTCAATCTCCGTTCAGAGAGTCTCTTGCTCAAGCGAAGGGGTTCGTACTACTGGTACGCGGCCGGAGCAGTGCTTGCGGCGGGACATCTGCTTTTTGTTCCGGCTGTGGCGCCGAGGATTCAGGCTATTGTTGAGGATGAGACCAAAGAGAAATCGGTGGGAGAGTTGAGAAGGTGGTTGAGAGTCAATGGTATCCGTGGGTTGACCACTGATTTGGGGGCTTGGGTGTGCTGTGTTGTTGCTGTGGTGAGGACTTTCAGTGTGTGAAAGAGCGTCCGAAGCACGGCGCAAAGGGGGGGTTGCCGTCAGCCGCAAAGACACTTGTGATTGTGGTCTTTGTTTGCCGCCGATGGCTCTTGTTCGAGGACCGAAGTAATTCGTTGTCATTGACAATTCCCTTGTCTATGCCACAATTCGGATTTCGTCAATGAGAGCCCTCCACATTCGGTTCTTGCACAAAGAGAGAAGGCTTGCCTTACCTACTCATTGTTCAAGTACCGAAACGGCTTACACTTCATCACCGGAATCCTTTCATCGAGTCGTAAATTTAGAAGAACAATGAAATGCGATCATGAGGACTCGGACTTCTTTGCTGAACAGAGCCACAGAGCGGAGAAGAACAAGAGTGAGGGAAAAAGTATAAGATCGGGACGGGTTGAGCAGCTGTTCACCGTTCAGTTCAACAACAGCCAAACTTCCACATTCGAGAAGAGAGAAACCAAGAAAAGTAAAGTCACCACCAAGAACGAAGCCAAGATCGCAACCCCCCCTCAGTAGCTACCTACCCACACCAGAGAAAAAGAAGGACAATAAAAGAAAGGAAAGAAAAAAAAAGACCAAAATGCCACCAAAGAAGACCAACGCAAGGAACAGGGTCACCAAGGGCGGCCGTCTCGGCCACGGCCCCAGATGGACCCCCTTCAAAGCCTGGAACGCCTCCCGCACCGCCCGCGAGACCATCCCCGGCGCCATCTGCAAGCAAGTCGACTCTTTCTACGCCGACCCGCGTCGGTGGAACGCCGCCGGCCGTCCGCAGCGCCCGCGCCTCTCCACGCTCCCCAAAACAGAAGCCGAGAACGAGTCCGAGTGCATCGCGGACCGCGCGCGCGCGGCTCTTGCCGAGCCCATCGACGCTCCGGAGGTGAAGTACTGCTATACCTGCTTCGAGTGCGGGCGGAACCCAGATGACCCGGAGTGCAGTGTGCAGTGTTATGACGAGCTTCACAGCGGTGGCGGTAGCAAAAACGGCATGAAGACCTTTTTCAAGAAGTGGCTTGAGATCCGACACACGGGCACCGCCGAAAAGGGGTACGGCGTGTTCGTCAAGACCAACGGTCGCTACGAGATCCCCAAGGGGGCGTACTTGGGTCATTACGTCGGCGAGATCATTCCTGGGCCGACGAAGGGGTATAATGCCAACAACAAGTACCTTTATGAGCCGCAGGTTGGGCTGGAGTGGGACACTGACCGGCCCATCATTGATGCGGGCAAGATGGGGAATTGGACAAGGTTCATGAATTCGAGCTGCGATCCCAATGTGAGCGAGTCGATTATGCAAATTGGCAAGGTTAGGGTGATTGCGTTCTTTGCGAACAAGACGTTGAAGTCCGGGGACGAGCTCTGTATTTATTATGGGGATGATTATTTCAGGGGTCATGGTCTGTTGTGTACTTGTGACAACTTTGAGGGATCGCATGATCCGACGGCCGTTGAAGCGGGACTCAAGGCTAGGGAGCGGCATCAGCAGGCTCTGGCTCTGCAACCTTGATTGATTGAACCCTTGGCTTGGCTTACACCGTAGTAGGTAGTTAGATAGCTGTCTTTGGCCTGGCGCTGTAGGATACCCGATGCATATAGACCTGCTTTTGATCTTTGGATATATAAATCTTATCTTGAACCTGATCGCTATCTGACATATGTGAACAAACTCTCGTTAGCCAACGTCGCTCTCCATCTCTGCGAAGATGGGTATGGGAAAGGCGATGTAGACGAACTTCGTACCACAATCTTTTTTAAACCATTCTCTAATCATCCCATAGGGTATCATATCAATCGACTCTTAGCACCTTCTTTATCAACAAAACAAGAGTCCTCTTACCAAGCAGCCTCCATCCGTTTACTCCACCTTTATGCCGACACCTCCTTCTTCTCAAACTTCTTATTCCCTGCAAACCCCTTGGCCTTCTTCGGATCAAAGTTCTTTCCCAGATATCCCTTAGGTTTCTTCTCGGCCTCCTCCTTTTCCTTGTCCTCCCTCTTCTTGGGTGCCGCAGCTACTCTCGCCGTCTCGGGGTCCGTCTCCTTCGCCCACCTGACCCAGTCATGGCGTCTGTGGCTCCACATGTCACCCTTCCACGTCCGCCAAACGTTGCGTCCCAGCCACGTCTCCCTGAGATCACGTTCGTATTGCGCTAGTTGCGAGATGATGTTCTCCTTCATGTGGAAGGGGACCGCAGGCGCGTTAGGCTCGGCCGGCTTGGATGGCAGAGTGATGATTGCGTTGAGAATGGCAGAACCGTGCTGCGATGTGGCGAGCTCGTATACGTGCGGAAGAAGGGACGACACGAGGACCTTGTGGAAGGTCGGGGTTATGGCGGGTGTCTGAAGAGCCTTGATGAGGATTGAAGAGGTGTTATGCGAGGTGGTGGCCATCTTCATAACCTGTGCTGGCTTCAGGGCAGCAAGTGACGATTGAATGGCCTTTGAGGGTTGGCCGGGAATGGCTAGCAGGGCGGCGACGAGTTGCGAGCCGTGGTTGAGCATAAAGGCCTTGTTCTTGGCTTCTTGGGTTTGAAACTTGGGCTGCTGCTTCTCCTTCTTTTCCTCTGCTTCTTCCTCTCCTACTTCCTCGGTCGACTGTGGCTTTTGCTCCTCCTCGCTGACCTCCTCGTCGAGCATGCAGAGCTTGGGCACGAGGTTCTTCCAATCGTTACCGTAAGCAGATGTAAGAGCCTTGAGAAGGGAGTTGATCTCATCAGTGCCGTTGCGGACGTTGCAGCGCTCGAAAAGGGTTTTGATAACGTTGAAACGTCCCTTGTCGACGAAGCTCGCCATCTCAGGCAAGGACTTCTCAACGGCGTCGGCAAGATCTTCTCTGCTCAGGCGGTTGAGAACCCTGATGGCGGGGTAGCAGGCGATATCGTTGCGAAGCAGACTCTGGATACGAGGGCCAAAGATGTGTTGCTGAAGACCCTTGAAAATCTTACCGGGGCAGTGGGTGATGAGTGTTTCGAGAAGTCGCGAACCAATCGGGTCGTAGATCATAGAGTTGACGAACTCGGCAGCTTGGGTGGTGTTATCGGCAAATGCGGCGGGCGCGTCGGGCACAAGCATGCCCAACAGCGAGATTTCGGACTGTGTCTCCTCCTTGTTTGTCTCCGCCTCGTCATCGTCCTTCTTCTGCTTCTTCTCTTTCTTCTCCTTGTTCTTTCCAAACATGGTCAACTCCAGCTCCAATAAGAGCTGCAGTGTCGGGTTACCAGTAGGATGCTTCGCCAGCACCCTCAATGCCGTGGCATCCATTGTCGCTGTGGAGTCGTCAATGATCTTCTTGACCGCCATCGTAAAGGACGACGGAACCGCTCTGATCTGGGAGCTCAATTCGCTCGCATTTGCTGCCGCACCCTCCACCGTGATGTACTCCTTCTTCCTGCTCTGCAACAGACTCTTGGTGCCGGCCTGATCCAGCGGCCTTCCAGACAGGATAACCAGCAGCGCGCGCATAGCGTGCGAGCCGTACCTATCGCTGAGCAAAAATCCCAAATGTTCCTCCAACTCATCCAGCGTCAGCAGGAAGAGATCTTCCATTGACGACTTCATGGCCTCCGTCTCCTCCTCGCCCTCCGGGAGGGGCTCCTGCTCGTACTCGCCGCTCAGCTCCTGGGTAACGACGGGCGCTGACTGCAGAAATAGCTTTTCGCAACAATGACTGGCAAAGCGATGGGTGACGAGCGAGATGAAGTGGCCGCCAAACGCGTCAAACAGGCTCTTCTTTTGGCGGGTGTTGGACAGCAGGATGAGGCGTTCCATGAGCCGCGAGCAAGATTGACTGCTGGCCAGCTTGAGCTCCTTGCCGCGCATCTCCTTGTAAACGTTCTGCAGAAAGATGTCGCGCTCCTCGGTGGAGGGAAAGTCGTTCAGCTCGAGCAATTCGTCGGCGTGGCGGAAGTATTCTTGCTCCTCTTCGGCGAGCATGCCGAAGAACTCGCGCTCGAAGTTGGTGTTGGGGCCACGACGACCTTCGGGGGCGCTGGAAAAAGCATTCTCGTCGTAGATACCGTCCAGAGGAGGAGGAACGTAATCGGCGGCAGCGGGGGCGAGGGTTTCCTGCTGGGCCTCTTCGCGGCGTTGCTTCTTGATGTCTCTCTCTTCTTCGTGTTCGATTTCTCTCTCTCTCTTCTTGGCGCGCTTCTCGTCACGCACCAATTGGCGTTTTGACTTTCTGTTCTTGCCCATGTTGCCGGTCGCTCGGTCTCTCGGTCGATCGGTGGTGTGGACTGGTGTGAAGAGAGGTAAGGTTAAGCGTGGATGGGCGAGGCGAACGATTGTTGCTGGATGAACTTGTTAGAATCCAAATAAAAAGTTTCGTTATCTTATCGCCGAACGAGCACCTTGGGAGCTTCCACTGGACTGTTGCCAAGAGGAATTAATCTCCACTCTGATTGGATCAATAGGCTGGGAACACCAAGCTAAACACCCGAGATAGGATGGCAGCGGCCAGGGGTTATGCTAAACGAGGCCCTAACCCTGGAGTGTACACCATTACCAAGTCATTAATGGTCCAGATGAAAGTGATCAATGGCTTGACAACAACAGCAGACATAGTATTTCTATTGAAGGGCAGCTCTACGGTCAAGTATTCCACGGGATTCTATCAAAGCCCGCTCAAATTCCACCCATGACACCCATCCCACAATGCATAGAGGTATCTTGTCCCCCGGCCAAGTCGCCAACCGTTAACATGTAAAACAAGTCCACCAACTCGAACCATTTAGTTAGAGGTAAGTAGACGCCCAGGGCAACGATTTGAACGCAATCAACGCTGCTCAAAGGAGAGGATCATACAGCCTACTCAAAGTTAAAGGGGGAAAACAAAAAGCTCGACTGGTGTTGAGTTCGGGACCAACTACATGCCCATCTTCTAGCTACCTGCAAACCTACCACGTAGGCCACTGCGAGTTGTTGGAAGCTTTGAACTCGGGGTTCAAATGGTCTTGGGCAGTGAAGCTCCTGTCACCGGAATGATGAGGCCTGGTGTCGATGTGTTCCCTTGGAGCTTGGTGCGGTGGGGCTCGCTCCTTCCCACCGCATCTTCACTAGGTCCCCGCCGTCATTTGCCTCTGCTCTACTGCCACCCAGCATGACCTTCTACAGCCAAGGTAATCACTGCCCAAGATAACCTGGACTGCCATCACCGCGCACTAAACCGTCGCAGTCCTCATCGGCGGCGTATCATTCGGGCTCTTCCCGTTCCGGTACTGCCACAACCTACTCAGATCCTTCACTTTCACCTTAGCCGGCTTGCTCTCGCGCCTCGTCCGCACCCGTCTTCGCTGTTCCACCGGACTATGACCACCGTAGACCGCAATCCCTCCCACGGCCTCATCGCCATTCCCTTCACCGCCGCCAACGATGATGCCGTTCGTAATCCCATTAGCAAGCCAACTGATCTCCATCGCCTCCTTAGCAGCCGTCATCTCACTCCCCGCCTCCCCAACCGTGATCTCGCTCTCCATGAACTCATTCCCCGTTTCCGCGCATCCTAAAAAGGCGCCCGTCTTCGGGTCTTTTTCGAGAGGGAACATGCCGTCCAGGTAATGCTGGCACAGCTGGTGGCCGCCGCGGGTGGTGGTGCGGGCAAAGACGCGGCCGATGAAGCGCGGCATGGTGTGTTGCCCCGGGATGGAGGTGGCGAAGTGCAGGATCCCCCAGAGGGCAACAAAGTCGGTCGTGTGCGCGTAGTGCTCAATGTGGCCGATGGCGCGGCCAGAGACGGCTGAGGGGGTGATGGCGCTGGTTTCGGAGGTGAGGGAGGGGATACTGGGTGCTACCCAGGAGGAGGAGGAGGAGCAAGACTCCTCGCCCTTGGTGGTGGTGGTGCTGGCGGTGTCGGGTGCGGCCGCGGTTGCGGGAGTGGTACCCGTGGTTGTGGTCCTCTGCTGTGGGGATATTTCGGTCTGGCATTGGTTGTTGGACAGGGTTGCCTGGGCTTGCTCGGTGTTTCCACTTCCCGCTGCCGTGTTGGTGGAGTCGGTGGATGCCGCCAGAGGGTTGTTGATGGCACTTCGTTGGGACTGAATGTTTCGATGCGGGTTGTTGAAGTGGTTGGCGGCGTTTCCGAACGTGTAGACTTCGAGCTTCGCCAACAGGTTCTGTGGGAGCTCTTGAAGAAGCCAGTCAATGATCATGCTTCCCTCGATGGCGCCCTGGGAATGCAGAATGAAGATGACCTTGGAGTACTGTGGGTTGTAGAGCTTCTCCTTGATGATCCGGTAGCAGATACGCACATCTGCTGTGGCGTAGCCGAGGTTGCGTTGGACAAGACATTCGATTACATCGAATAGGATACCGGCACTGGATCGGTAAGCTTAGTATGTCTCAAAGTGTTTCCAAGAGCGTTGGACTCACGTTTTGTTGTGTATCCCGAGGATGGGGCGCTTGAATGTTATGGCTAGTCGGTTAAGGTTACTCTGCATCCAATGCTCTCTAAGCCTCTTGTCAGCTCAGCTCGCTCAGGAACCGTGGGGGATCGTAAGACCAGGTCTCAGCCAGTGACTTACCCTACTGCCACACCGTTGATGAAGATCCATTGTTCATGGGCATGCTCAGGAAGAGCTGGTGCGTACTTTGGATCGGAATGGTATTCGACCTCCTTCCCGTTCAGAAAGGTACAAAGCCCATGATTGACGAGTATAAACAGTCCGATTGCCAAAGCAGCAGTCCAGACTGGAAACAGAATTAGTGTTGGAAGTGTCACGATGAACCCAAGCTGCAACACCACGAGGATTGCGTGAAGACCAACACAGAACAGGTTTCCGCGCGTAATAGATAGCTCGTCCAAGTCTCCTGAATCCGAGGGTGATAAGGGGATCAAGACGTAGGGAAGAGCCCAGATGAACTTGAAGAAATAATAGATATCAAAGGCCATCAACTTCAACGGCCGATCCGTATAGCTGTAGTTGATGACCGACTGCTCCCCGATCTGAGAGCCAAAGAACTTTGTGTTGTTGGGGCTAGGCGTCTCCGCCTTTCGCCATTTGGACGCCATGAATGCGAGCGAGGCAAATATGGCCACGATGGTGAAGCCAGATAAGACGAGAAGAGTTGGCATCGTCAGTGAGGACTAAAGGGGCCATATAAGAAGGGAATTCTGTGAAACTAGCACAGCCTTTTAATGGTTACACCAACTCCTAGTCAACTCCAGTCCGGCGATATCCAGTTCTAGCAAGTCAGGCCGGTGTCGACAGGGTATTTAAGAACTGGGATCTGACCGAGGCCAAGTTGGGCTTGTTTCGGCAACTTGGCGCCCAATTGGTTACCTCCATGTCCCGCCCGTCTTACGGGACCAACAACGGTGATGATTGATGAAAACCAAGCCCCAAGTTGGCTAAAGAGTCAACAGATTATCCCCGTTGGGACGTCAGATGCCCTCCTTTCACTGCCCCGAAGTTTTTGATGGTTGGTCGGAATTGACGCTGGCCAAGAAAAGACGCATCAGCCGTGCTGTAGGGCTGATCCACCAGAACCCCAAGCCTCCCCACTTGACGTTCTCATGGCGCCATCTGATAGGAAATTCGTCTCGTAAAGGCATCAAGGTGCGCTGCACAGCTGGCAATCTTTCCATGATGTTGTTGTCAGATACTGACCATAACGCCAAACACCCAAAAACCACAGCTCCGCACAGGTGACGGAGTACATAGTGGCACGTTAGCCCCCCCGGTCGCGGATTCCAACCCAACTCAGCCGTGTCGGCTTATGTGGATTTTGGAGTGAGGAGTTGGGAGCAAGCGTCAGAAGTTGAAAGCAGGTACCCGTAAGCGAAGCTGCTAATCCGTGCCGTGCCGTGCCGTGCACTGCCGTCTTGCTTTGCTTTCTTCCCACATCTGCTTGTAGCAGATATATTTTGGTTTTTGCACATGATGAATTCGTTTTGAGTTGGTTGCTGGTTGGTTAGTTGGTAAGGAAAAGAGCAACGAAGATGGGAAGATGAAGGTAGGTTCATTGGATTTTGCAGGCCACACGAGTCGGTAAAACTCTTATGGTCAGTGCGTTGTGCTGTCAATGCTCTTGTTTGGGTTAGGGTTAGATATGGAGTGATAGAATGAACGAACTATTGCGCCGTCAGACAGAGAATCTTGCTGCTGGGAAACACCAGAAAAAGAAATGTTAGGACAAACGGAATGGTCTTGATAAGTCCTACTCTCGAAAAAGTATTTCGATGGAACATGAGTAGTTAGTATAAGTACACCCAGCGCCACGCCGCACCCTTTTATACCAAGTTACACGAATCACACGAGTCACGAGTACCCGTGCCATCTATCTACTTCCCTCATTGCTTTGCTATTGTCCCGTGAGCCCGTCAACAACCCTTCGCTGTCGCCGTCGTCCCCATGATGAGTTGCTACCAATGTAGGAATGCTAAGACTCCGTGCATGAGCCAGTTCATAATAATCATGGTAATCATCATCCGTATTCCTTCCGTTCGCATCAAGGTGAGTCTCTGAAGTATTTGGGCCAACCACGCCAGTCTCAGTCACCCAGCTCCGAGCCCTGTGTAACTCGGCCGGTCTGGTGGGCACGCCGCTTTGAACCGATCCGGACGCAACAACTATGCCGGAGCGCTCCGTTACGCTTCCGGACGGACGACTCCCCCACCCAAACTCGGCGCCGATTGCCTGGTCTATCCGGGATTTCAACGCCTCGGGTGTTGGCGACGGCTGTCTGGTCTTCTTTCCGCTAAATATGTTGACAGTGTAGCCTAGATTCTGCTCATTGCCGTGGCTGTAGCCTCCTGATTTGTTGTAGGCCAAATCATAGGCTTCGAGCTTGAGGAGGCGACGATACGTGTAGAAAGCGTAGAAGAGCATCAAAAGTGTTATGCCACTGCATCAAAAGTTAGCTTGGCAGTCACTATGTTGAAGGTATTTAGTTTGATCTTACAGCAGAATGCAATCCAAAGCCAAGCCCACTGTGGAGTAGTGGTGGTCTGGATATTTGACGTAGACGGTGACATCTAAGCCTAGCATTCCGCTGGCAAGTGTGTATTTGATAAGATGTGTACACAGCATGAAGAAAGGGGTCAAGGTCTCAGACCTCGCCTTCCATATTTCCGCAATTGTGAGAGCTACGGAAATAACTGAAAAACCAACCTGGGTGGATTCCCAACTGATAGAATGCCTTTGTGTTAGTGCGCCGTTTATTCGGCGAAGAGAGTTTGGCAGACTGAGAGGAGCTGTTGCGCTGACATACACTATTTGAACTATAATTCCCTGACCATGCGTTATCTCGTCGTCAAAGGTGCGAGAGGTCACAAAAAGCCGGTAGGAGAATAGGCCAACTAGGCTGAGAAGGGCCCCAACCTGTATCATCCAACATGGAGCGAGAAGCCGAATGCGCCATTCGGCGCGTGCGAAGAGCACCTGATCCAGGTTAAGAGTCATGCTAGAATCTTGTCGTTTGGTGCAGGTAAGGCGCCGCAAAGATGAATAGGCGTCGTTGAGTGACAAAGGCGCCTGGCTGGAGTCATTGAGCGTTGTTCCTTCTGAGCATAAGTCGCGTACCCTTTCCCATGGATGCCGGTCACTCTGCTCCAAGATCCCCGGCAACTAATTCCAGTGTGGCGGCGAATATCGGTATGGTAGATCAAGATTGGAAACCGTATGTTGACAGCAAAGGTACCTCCTTATCGGATCCGCCGGCAGAAGCGGAGGGGAGATATTTATCGGGATGGGGAACGCTTCGGCATTCGATCCGTAGCTTTTTGTAGCTCAGCGCCCGGCAACCCAACGAAAAGAGGCTGAGAAGTGGATTCCTGTAGGATTCAGAAGGGAAGCGCAGGGTCCATTGGCTCATGGCAACAAGCGCCCGTTTGTCTCTGGTTTCGTTGTCTCAGGAAGTATGGGCTGGGTTGTATTCTAGTGTACCTAGATTTAGGCGGAGGCTGTTTCGCGGCCGCTCCATGGCAAGAAGCAAGGAACGGGAAGATCGATGGAAGCCACATTTCCTTGATTGGGCTTGTGAAAGTGCATCATGCATGCCCAAGTGGGCTAAACAGCATGAGCTAGTGAACGTTAGGTGCAGGGCTGACGATCTTGCGATTTGGTGGAGGGTGGTGGAAAGACGTTGACACTGGAAAACCCGGTCACAAACAGCGCAGCCTCCAGCGCTTGTCGCAATCCTTACCCGTCTGGCGGCAAGATAGAAGTTATGTCGCTCACCTTTCCAACATCGTGGCATACCTCATTTGAATTTGTGTCAAGTGACTGTAGTAGGACTTGCGGGATGGGAGGATGGGTGATGATTACAAGCGCAGGAAGCGGAAAAGGAAGGGAGCGAAATCCATAAATAAACCAAGCGCGAGACTTGGCCCCCCGACTGACCAATGATCGGGTCGGAAAAGACCGCTGCCTGCCAGCTGCGCCTCAGCGAGGGAAGCTTAAGCCTGCGAATACCTGAAAAGGCCTGCCAGATGAAAAGAGTAGTTTCTTTGGTTTTTTTTTTTTTTTTTTTTTTTTTTTTTTTTGGTGAACAGAAACTGGTTCAATCGTTGCTTTCTCCCTATACACCGAGTTTAGTCTAACGCTTATTCCATCAGAAACTGTCCGCAAACTAGCACTTCGAACCCCCCTAAAATGCGGCAAACGGCTCAATACTCGTTGATGAACCGTTTAAAAACCCTAACCGCCCTGCATTGACCGGGACAGTGCATCATCACCGGCGTTCTCGATAATTGCATCGACCAGCGTCTCTCTGATAGGCAGATGATGGTGTCTGCCAAATCTCGGAGCCCGCAAGGGACGCCAGTTCTCACAGCGAAACGCCGAACGAGGGCAATTTCCTAGAACATCCTCTATTCCATCCTGCGGTAGTCGAATATCCTTATTACAGCCTATCTCTTACGATCCTGGGCACGCCATAGCGCTCCTCGACGTTGCCTCCCCGCCCAATAGCCTTGCTCCGTGAACACCGGGCTGCGCCCGTTTCGTTCCTGTCTCATTCCTTTGGTCTCATTGCCCGTCGGCGGCAGCAGGTTGGAATACCGAAGTGCTGCTGAATGGTACGACGTTGCCGCTCGCATCTGACATGGCAGGTACACTGGCGTCAACGTCATGCTGAAGGTTTTGACGACTCACAACCTGAGCTGCCGCTGATGTTAGTATCGTGGAAATTGCATACATGGACGCCAAACATTCGAGAGGCTTGAAACATCAGCCTGGCTTGCTCACCATTATTGTTCGGGGTTGTGGGATAAGCCATAGCCACAGAGACGAGAGCGACCATAACAGCAGAGATAAGCTTCATTGTGAAAATGGAACTGATATTGAAGAGCTAGGGAGCAGCGAGTGTTGGGCGAATGGAAAAGAGGAGGTGATAATAAAGTCGGCCGGCGACAATGGTAAATCTGGAGCGACTGAATGGAACAACACCAAGAACTCGAGGCAAACGGAGCGAATATTAGAACAAGGGCGATGAGCGAGTCAACAGCTCAGGCCAAATCTATCGACGGATATTGCCAACTATTTGTACTCTTGTGTCCAGGAACATCGTGAAGGTGTGATCAAGATCTGCTTGGTCTGGGGAACGATATGTGTTTCAGGATACGACTCATGCACAACACTGCCTTCGGATCGAGTACAAGGTAAAAGCCGAGTGGTTAGCCACTTCCCCAGAGGCTTGTTTAAAACGCGGCAACGGTTTCTATTCACGATAACCGAGGTGTGGAGTCTCTCTTGGATGGGGACGATCCAAACGGGGTACCTGGTCCTGGGCGGTTCAAAGGGCCGGCTCCGGGACGTACATGGACCGGTGGTTTGCGGAGTGGTACATATTTGGTGAGCGAACAGCCTGCCTACCGCTGCGAAGGGCCTCAAGATTTCGAATCCCTTGGCGACACCATCCAACTTGAATATTCCCGAGGGCATATTGTCGGTTGAGTCGAGCCAACGTAGCTGGGCGATTCCAGAGGTGATTCGTGGGTTTCAGTCCGGTTGAGAATCTGCATCTTTCACATCTTTGACACTCGCCTCTGGGGACGTTTTTTCGGGGCTCCTGCAGCTGTCACGTATCAAAACTTTAAATGCCCACCGGAATTACCCAAGAGTTCAGATCCTGGGGAGAACCCAGCCCCAGTATTAACCCAGCCTTATACCTAGTCGCAGGGAGCTGAAACCGAGGATCTGGAACTCTGGTCGGTTAAAGTGTGGCATTGGCCGGTACAGAGCCCCCTGTGGCTCGCACCTCATACCGTAATGGGCCTCTTCCGAGGTTCCGTGTTGCAGCCTGCCCTGGCTTCCCCTGTCAGAGCCTAGAACATCTATCACTACCGAGCTATCAATCGTGTCTGATATTCACGAACAGATGAACCGCGTGGAATGAGTGGCTGATATGATCTAAGAGGTTAGACGAGCTCTCCTTGCTCGAACCGTGGCATTGAGAGGAAAAGGTTCGGTCGTATAAGTGTACGATGAGCGGGCGGGAAAAGGGTATGAATTTTATAATGCAAGTTCGTCTTCTTACCTACGTATCTTCGTATTCAGACCAGGTGCCACATTGGTATATACCGGCATATGTCAAGGTAGCACAGCAGATGGCGACAATCACCAGTAAAATGGCACCGCATCGGCTCCAGGAGACTGTAGACGAAGCTCACGTCAACACAATCACCGAATTCGCTGGAGTTGTTTAAAGACCCTCCAGGCGCTGTTTACGACACACTGGCAGCGAGTGATCTGCGATACAGTCCGTTGATGCTGACATTTGTACAACCGCTCTTCGAGGTCTGACCGCAAGGTGGTACAGTACTTCCCTCACGATGTCCGAGCGGGAGGCCAGAAGCGTCTTTGTAGTGTATCGATTGGCGAGAAAGGATTTATCGATAGGGTCCAGATGCCTCTGGAACCTCGCTGACGGCGCCACGACGGGGAGAGTCCCGTCAAACATCCAGTGGATCTCAGCCCACCGAGATCCACTAGAATCCGTCCGCTACACAGGGTACTGTCGGGATGACACTGACGGCATGCCTGCTTCTGTGCCTCAACTCTAAATAGATGACTTGGACTAACCCTTACTGTCTTAACAATCTCACAATTGCGTTGCGCCCGCGGTCGCTTACTTTCAACCCTTTCAACATAGACTCACGATAATTTCAAGGTCCATGATGAGTGTAGTGAGCTCCATGAAGATGTTAATCTTCAATTTGAGAAGCTGGACTGAACAGCAAGTTGGATGTTTTTCCATCGTGGCAAGGATGTGGAGTGACGAGAGGGGTTTCGTTGTTAGGGAACCATCAGCAGCAACATTCTCAATCCCTGCTCCTGTGGTGTTGTTCACTGCCGCAAATTGATTGGCCACAGCCATTGACTGGAGACCCCGGCCGTCGAGTTACCCCTCGCTTTCGACGCCTTTCCTCCATCCATCCATCTGTTTCTTGTTTGTGCTGCTTTACTTGTACACATTGAGAGACTCAAGAACGGGAACCACACCATTTCCCGACTGGCGGTCATCCTTGGCTGGAATCCGGATGGATGATTCAGCCACGGCTCCATCCGCCTGACTGCCGCTCGTGCTGATGATGACCACGCACAGCACACATTCCACTTGCAGCTTATCATCCCCCACCCCCGCACGTTGCAGTTCGATCTCTTTCCTCTTTTCCCCTGTTGTCGCGCCTTCGTTCGAAGAGCATGACAGGAATCTCTACCCCTCCTTTTAATTGTGACTATCTCCAGTGTTTAGAACCAGGAACGTACAACTAATCAACAGCCGCTTGCTCAACCGTCAACATTCCTACTTCCAAGTACTACAGCACCTCCGACACCGTCAAGACGCTGTACAACCAAGTTCTCGCCAACAAACGCACCATGGCCACCGTCGAGCACTGTCTCTGCTGCTTCGAAGCACTCGTCGCCTATCATGAGCGTCGCAAGCCCATGAGCCTGTCTGAAATTGAAAAGTCATGGGTCGAATACATCAACACCGTTGACGAGAACAACGGCGACGGCGACGATGACGACCAAGAGGCCAATGTCTCCAGCAAAGCTCCTCAGATCCCCGCGCTCCGTAGACTAGCCGCGGCAACTTTGCCGTCGTCGACCACCTCATCATCGACCTCCCTCGCCACAATCAGCAGCAGCACCAGCGCCAGCACGAGCAGCAGCAACACGACCCTCCAGTCCGGCATCTCCACGCCCGCAACCTCTATCGCCTCCTCCGCCTCTCCCACCCCGCCTACACCCGTTTACGAATCTCCCCTTTTCGTAACCTGGAACGTCGTCCGAGACTCGGATGATGACGACGTTTCCCTCCGTGGCTGCATCGGCACTTTTGAGTCTCAGCCTCTCTCCTCCGGCTTGCCCTCGTATGCCCTGACCTCTGCTCTCCAAGACACGCGCTTCCACCCCATCAGCCGGGCCGAGTTGCCTTCGCTGCAAGTGGCTGTGACGCTCTTGACTGACTTTGAGCCCGCGGCCGACGCCATGGACTGGGAGCTGGGCAAGCACGGGTTGCGCATCAGCTTTGTGTACCGCGGACGCAGGTACGGGGCGACGTACTTGCCGGATGTGGCGCCGGAGCAAGGGTGGACCAAGGAGGAAACGGTGGTGAGCCTGATGCGCAAGGCCGGATGGGAAGGGAACAAGTCGAGGTGGAGGGAGGTGGAGCTGAGGGTGGTTAGATATCAAGGGAAGAAGGAGAAATTGGGGTATGAGGAGTACAAGGCCTGGAGGGATTGGGTGGATGAGAAGGAGGCGGAGTGAACGTTAAGAGGAAGAGGAGGAGCTGCGTGGATTAATTGGGTTGCATGGATGAATGAGCTGTTTTGATCGAGGAGTTATGGTGAGGAATATTGGTAAACCGAGGTGTTTGGCGTAGAGGCATAAACGGATACGATGAAGGGAAGAAAGGCTACGCGTGTCACGTTTCTTAAAGAGGAATGCAAGCAGAAGCACAGTACAGAAGGTTTACGGATATAACGAGCGGCGTCTTGGGAGTCTAGGACATACTTGGGAAGAGGTTCATACACCTAGAGAGATATTACTTTCAACAACCATGCAAACAAATGGAAGGAATAGCGGCTGATCGAGACGAAAGACGCAGTTGCAATAGACAACGAAGCAAAGCACAGCACAGCAAGAATAGAAGTCGAGACAACAGGATTCCTCTAAAATCCAACTAACTCGAAAAAAAAAATATGGTTGAATACATCAGAAAGAGCCATCACCTTTCACCTCCTTTATAACGTTAAAAAAAGCACGAATAATTCTGCCTTTACCGCTTCGTTAATTGAATTCTTAGACAGTGAATCAACTCAACTGCAGTATATTACAGGTGCGCATTTCCATGAACGATTATTTAATTCCAAGTATTCCGTCACTTTATATGCACCCACTCTATCTCTGCCCATCTATCCAACCATTCGCAATTCAACTTGATCGCGGAGGTATCCAACTTAACTAGTCACCAAGACATGGATTTTGTTAAGCCGAGACGAACGCGACCATCCAAACCACGCCAACATCATTGCGGCACAATCTCCTTTCCAATAGCTTCCAAACCCTTAACGAGCCCCTCTACCGTTCCCCTCAACGTCTGGCAGTTAACCACGACCCTAAAGAGGCTTCCCTTATCGCCCGGGGCATAATCGACCATAAACCCTCTCGCAATCAATTTCTCCACCATGATTCTCGTCCTTCTGGTGTTCTCTTCGGGCTCGTCCGCCAACTTCCCGCCGGGGGCATAGTAAAAGCACACCTGCAAACAAGGCGGCGGGTTCGACGACACCAGCACAAAGTCGTTGCGCTCGGCAATCAGATTGGCCAAGTAGGCGGCCATGTCGAAGGCGCCGTCAATCTGCCGCTCGAACCCGGCTGCGCCGTAGTAGATCCATGACAAAGCCAACTTGAGCGCGTCGCCTCTGCGACCGCACTGGAGCGTCAGGTCGGCTAGATCCCAGACCTCGTCTGAGCTGTTCCCGTTTCCACATCCGTTTGTGGTAGTCACTCCTTCCTCCGAAGGGGTGGTCTGGCTTTGCGGCGCATTCTCTTCCCCGTCGGCAACCTCCTCCTCCTCCTCCGCCGCCGCCGGCCCATGGAACAGATAGCCAGCCGGCAACGTATTCGCCCTATGGAAAACCTTGACATCATTGGTCAAAAGAAACGAACACGTCACCGGGGCATTGAGCATCTTGTGCGGATTGACCGTCAGTGACCTCGCCCTGTGCGACCCTTGCATCTTGTGCTTGTGCTTCCTGCTAAAGACGGCTGGGCCACCCCAGCTCCCATCAATGTGCAACCACATTCCAAACTCGTCACACACGTCCGCGATCTCGTCAAACGGGTCGTACGAGCCCAAGACCGTCGTGCCAGCCGTCGCGTTGACGTAAAAGGGGTGTTTTCCCTCGCATTTGGCTTTGAGGACCATCTCGCGCAAAGCGGCGGGTTGCATGCGCCCTTGCTCATCGACGGGGACGGTCCAGACCGCCGAGGACCCGAAACCGCACGTCATGGCGGCTTTTTCAATGGAGTAGTGCCCGTGAGCGCTGGTGAGAAGAATCAGCGGGCCGGGGGCGCCGCACTGCTCGTGTCCGTTACCGTGGATCTTGGAGAGGGGAAAAAGCGTGTTGCGGGCAATGACGATGGAGGTCAGATTTGAAGCGCTGCCGCCCTGGCAGGTGACGCCTCCGGCGCGGGGGCCGGTGAAGCCGAACAGCGAGGCGAACTGCTTGGCTGTGTACTTCTCGATCACGCTGAGGGCGGGAGATACCTGGTAGACGTGCAGGTTGGTGTTGAGAACGGAGAGCAGCAACTCAGTGACGACACCGACGGCGTTGGTGGAGGCGTACAGCTTGTCCATGAAGCCTTGGTCCCACGTGTTGACGGAGTAAGAGAGGATGGACTGGATGGTTTCTAGAAGACCCTGCGAACCCTGGCCCTCGCCTGAAGGGAGGGAAAGCGCCAGTTCCTTGACGAGTTGGTCCGGTCGGAGGGATCTGACAAGGACATTGCGGTTATCTGGGGGTAGTTGGCCGGTGGCTCGGAAGGAGGCGGCGTTGTCTGCGTCCCGGATGTAGGGGATGATTAGGGACTTGACCGCATCGATAAGCTTTTTTATGGAGTCAGTCAGAGTCTGTCCGTTGTGCTTGGTCTCATGATGATATTCGATCTTGATTGATCGAGTGTTATGGTGATAGGGAGAGTGTGGTTGATTGGTTAGGGGGATGCGCTGAAGAAGAAGCGGGTTAGGGTTAACGGTGTCTATGAGCTTGGGACTTACATGATCAACCTCGCTTGCCCTGTTCAGAGGCTTGTCCGTGCTGTGAAACCCGTTCATTGTTCTGGTGTGTTTGTTTTCCTTGTTATTCTCCAGAATAGGCCAGAATTAAGTTCCCGAGTACAACGGAAGAGAGAAGAGAGAATCCATGGCAAAGAAACAGAGCAAGACCGAAGAGTCAGAGTTTTTCACGGCCCCCCATGCGTGCCGTCACATACGCCGTAAACAAGGGAACGGTGAACCGAACCGCGGTTTACGCCTGGGCCTCACGTAAGAACTGAACGGTCAAGTCAGCGTCCCACGGTCCACCGGCCAGATCGGCAATCCACTCTTCTTCCACGCCCCGACAGCCGTACCTTAGCAGCAGGGCAGCCCGGAAGGCGGAGCCCGTAAATCCCGCGCACATGGCCGCATTGGGGCATTTGACGTCCTCGCCGAGCCGCCGACTCCCCCGCCGGAGCATGTCTTGGTCAAGTGGGGATCCAATCGGCTCTGCACCCGATGTTTTCGCAATATGACTTCATCGTGGACCAACTGTTTTTTTTTGGTGTTTCACGGAAATCTCCTCAGCGAGGCGAGGAATGATGAAACTATTCATCTATATGGTGACCTGAACGCGATGCACCTCTAGAATGTCGTTGGAGCGGTTTGGCATAGATGGTTTTGGCGATAGCATAGCGTTGTGAAGAAGAAAAGTTACTGGGGTGGTTTTGAAGCAGCAAACTGCATAGTATTGTAGCTTTCATGAATCATGCATGGCATTGATGTCAGATCACAGGTCATTTGCAGCTCATAGGAGGAAACACTAAAAAAAAATAAAAAATAGAAAGACAAACTGCGACTCGTTTGGAGCTGTTGTTGGTTTCTGCACTTTGTCGTGTTGGCGAACGGAAGGGGGAAAAGACATATCATTCATTCCTTACCTCTTGCGTATGTACTGACTTTGCTTTTCCACAAGGCGGCATGACCTCCGGTTGTTCAGGCGTCCAGTCACGGCGACCGGCATAAAGACAACGGAAGGCAAATGGCGGAGGGCAATGCGGCCGCCCGGTGACCGCTCGGCGGGGTGTTGACGCTTTTTCGCACGTGGGGACCTTGGTTGAGCTACCTACTGTAGCGAGCTGAGGTTTCTCCGAGCGTCGAACAGTGGACCACCGCAACACCTGACGAAGCTGGGGGCAGTCGCGCATTGCCCGATTGGATGTCATTTGAGCCAATCTCCGCTTCTCCTCCCCATTCGGGCTCCGTTCGCCCATCTTTTCCCCAATTCTGACATGTGACTTGTCTCTTTGCAAAATGAAGGCAATCCCAATTTGGTTTTACCTGTGCGGCTACCTAGTAAAGACTTGAGAAGACGTCGGTTCCTTGTTCTGTCGAAGTGCATTCTTTCAGTTTGTTTTTTCAACCAAACGACCTAACCGTCTGTTGACGTGACTGCCAGTGACAGCTTCCATTTAGGTCCCATTCAGCTGCAGTGGCTCACTGCAAGGCCGGCTCCTGGGCTGGGCACCGCCTGCTGCTGCTGCTGCTGCTGCATGCAATCGCTGTGCGCCATTCTGCTTGTTTATGTAGGTCATGGTTAGGTTGCCCTGCCGGAAGCGCAGCCGGTCGTGCATTTGGGGACGTTGGGCCCGTTGCTAACAAACCGCGCCTAGCATCCCAGCCAATCATATGCGCCGATCACATCCTTTCTGATTTCTGGAAAAGCAAAAAGGGGCATTTTTGTACCCCTGTCGTCCATCTGAACAGAGAACAAGACATTGTCTTTTGTTGTCCCAGCAGCAACACAAAGAGGTTTGCGCATGAGTGCAGTGCTGAATACCACCAGACAGAGTTTTGTTGGTTTCTACACTTGCCATGTGCTCCTGTCCCATCCATGGGCCGTTGTCGATGATCGGGCGTGTGAAGGTATCCCTCGCGAAATGCCCTTTCTCCCTTGCTAACGGCGGAAAGGTCCGGATCCGATGACGAGAAACACGATCGTGCCGATGGAAAATTACATCCATGCCTTCTTGCTGCTGTGCCTGTCTGGGCTCTCTGTTTCCAGTCCGCCGGCTATTACACTACAGCGTAGCAGTGTGCATCATGGCCAGCTTCAGATCAAGCATCATCGTCAGCGCCGTCATCTTTCCGGAGAACGCCGGGGGTTGACAAGGTAGTGTACAGTATGTATGTAACAAAGGTCCCAAACTAATAAGGTTGCAACTTTCCCCTGGTGACCGTCGCATTCAACGCACGAGCGCTCTTCCCCGGGAGGCCCCATCGCTTGCCCATGCAGTCCGGTCACCCCCTGTTCAAGACGGGCAGGAAGCCAGGAACAGTGGGCAGCATCCAATTCCTGTGGGCAAGATGAAATGTGGGTATCGGTCCAAATTCAAATTCAGTGAACCCCGGAACGAAGGACGAATTGGTTGCAGAATACGGCGCATCTGCCCGGACTCTTCCTCTGCCCATTGATAATGATACGAGTCCATTCATCATCTCCCGTCCTGTTTTGTGTCTTGTGAGCTGATCTCTCACTTTTTACCATTTTCAACGCCCCTCTTCTTTTTTTGGTGTTCTTTTGTGAAGAAAAACAAAACAGCAAAAACATCATCACAACCCATTTTGGCCAAGCAAACCACTTCTCCCTTGCAAGCCAGCGCACGCATCAACTCGACAAGAACCTAATACTGGACTAAAACGCACGCACGCTCGTTCGTTCGTTCGTTCGCTCATTGTTTGCTTCTCGACGGCACCGCACCGCACTGCAGTTGCTACAACCAGCATATCGGACTAAAAGCAACCTTTTTTTTTTTTTCTTTTTTTTTTTTTTTCTTCTTACAAGTTCCTTTTGCGGTCTGCTTAGCTCTCGGCCTAACTTCGCCCCACACTCTCTCGCTTCCTGGTTTTCCGTCAAACGTGACGTCGAACCAAACTTTTTTTTGTGACGACGCCGCTCGCCCTAGAGGTCCAAAAGAAAAAAAAAAAAAGGAAAAGAAAAGGAGGGATCCCACCTTGCTTCACATCACCACCTCTCACCAGGAACAAGGTCCGATCATCGCCTTGTGCGCCCACCCCTCCTTTTTAGGCTCGACCCAAACTTTGTTTATCTTGCAACCCACCTCGACCCAACCGACCGACCCCTCTCTTATACGAAGCTGTCCTCGTCTGTCATCAAATATCTTTCAAATTGCTCCCCCCAAATCCCTTCTATTTCTGACCCTCCTTTCGGAACCTTATCTAAGGACAAGCCAACCTGTCCATTTCTTATCCAATTGCAATAATATCGAAGCGGGCACAGCACCCCCTTTTTCCAGTTCCGTTGAAATATCACCCAACGGGAAAGGCTTTTCCCCAGCTAGTTACGACAACCAATTATCACCAAACAAGGGCAATTACGTTCTCAACCGAAACCGAAACCAAACCAAATTCAATATTCGAGAGGAAGGACAATGCCATCCCAAAATCCCCGTAGTCACGGGCACTCAGCCTCAACCGGCTCCGCCAAAACCGGCGGCGCCTCCATTTCCTCCCCCACACAAGGAGGCACCCGACAATCTCAACAGCCCCCCGTCCCCATCTCCATCACCATCTGCGGCGACGGCGGCTGCGGTAAATCCTCCATCACGCTCCGTCTCGTGCGTTCGCAATGGACAGAAGACTACGACCCGACCATCGAAGACAGCTACAGCATCACGCGCCGCATCGACGGCGTCACCTACCACTTGTCTCTGACCGACACGGCCGGCCAGGAAGAGTACCGCGGCATGTGGGCCTCATCCAACCTGGGAGCCGACGCCTTCTTGATGGTGTACGACATCACGAGCCGCGACAGCCTCGACGCGCTGCAGTATTTCAACGATCTGATCGACATGGAGGCCGAGACGCGGGCGGATAACGCAGCGCGGGCTCGCCGGGCAGGGTTATCGCCGGCGCAGATTTCAGGGAGCATGTCGAATCGGTATGCGACTGGGTCGAACATGGGTGGTGGAGCAGGGTCGGGGGCCAAGGCTGTCCCTCCGGTGAAGATTGTGGCGGGCAATAAGTGCGATTTGTCGGAGAATCGGGTAGTCCCCGCGGCTACGGGCTTGGAGTGGGCGAGGGCGAGGGGGTGCGGCTTTATGGAGACGAGTGCAAGGCTGGAGGTTAACATTGAGGAGACATTTGCGCTGATTGTGAGGAGGGTGGTGGAGCAGAGGAGGTTGGCCGAGTTGGGCATCACGGGCGTGGATCAGGAGGCGGCCGAGGAGTTGTTGGGGAGCAGTAGGGGGAGGACGAAGCCGTTGAGTCCGTTGCCGACCAAGGAGGGGAAGGAGAGGGGTATGGATGAGAAGGATGGGAATGGTGGATGGAGGAAAAAGAGGGGTAGGGCAACCAAGTTGTTGAAGTCGTTGAGGTGCTGGTAGGACCAGAAGGACCGGAAGGAAATGAGTCGTTAGCACGAGTGGGAGGGCTCAGGTTGGCTTGGCTTTGTTCACGCTGTTAATGCTTCTTTTCGTTCTCTGTTGCTGCTGCTGCTGCTAGGCGAAAGTTGATGGATATCGGGTTGTATACCTTGGGGCTGGACCTTGGCTCACCCTTGATTCATGGGATCGGACTTTTTGCTACTACTGGAAAGGAGGACTGGGATCGGAGTCGTGGAGCAGGAGTTTATTGGTCGGTCGGCATGTCTTCTTTCTGTTCGTTTTTCGCTGCAGGCGACTCAAAAAGGGAGAGATACCAAACGATGGGACTTGCGTACCAGTTTATCAACCTTACTACTATGTTATGTTATGTCTTCTTGCCTTCCCTCGATGTCTTGTCGCTTTTCCCTTGTACTTGTGTTGCTTGACCTTGTCATGCACTGTTGAAACTCTCTTGTCCATGACGCGACATCGCAGCCGTCAAGCTGAGCAAAAGGATAACCGTTGATGATTTGGGGTCCGGCAAGACATTTTTAGATTTTCAACGCCATACCCTCTCCACCAACCCAGAGGTCACTTCTGCGCAACTTGCAAAAACAAAGGTTTATTTGTTCCTGCTTCACGGGATGTTCGGTACATAAAAGATGAAAAGATGACTTGGAGGTGCGTCAAGACAATTTTGGACCTTGGCTGACTGTCTTCAGCATACCTTGACCGACATAAGGGACCATGCGTTCAAGAATTCACTGGATCCAAATGGACACAAACAAACTTTGGATTCGAATCATTCAACAAATTGCATACATAAATCCTCCCTCATTTTAGTCACTACTTTCAACGTCTTGAGCAGGCTTAGCACTTGTCGTTCTGAGCCTTGCGGAGGTCGAAGACGCGAATGGCCTCGTGGGCAGCCTTGACACCGCTGAGAGCCATGGCTCCGAAGGTAGGTCCTATGGTTACCCAGGGTTAGCATGCAACTCGATCAACTGAAGTAGGGGATAGTTCAACATACCCATGCGGTTGGCACCGTCAATCTCCGACAACTCCATACCGCCAACAATCAGACCCGGGACGATCTCGCGAGTGTTGTTGACAATAGCATCCTCGGCGGATTGCATATCCAGCCCGCGCATGCCGTTCAGGCGCTCCATCTGCTTCATGCTGACCAAACGCTTGACAGAGAAGGCACCAAAAGGACCATCGTGGCCCGTGGTGCTGATGATAACTGGGGCGTTGATGGTGTTGGGGTCCATGCAGCTCTGATCGTCGTGATGCATTGACACGAGGGTCCAGTTGGTCACCACACCCGCAATCCTCACCTTGGCCTCGTCCTCGGCCTCGCCATCATCCGATGACGACGAAGACTCGGCATGGTGCTTCCTGGTGATCAAGTCCTCGACGGTCGTGGCATTGAACAGCTTGACGTTGGGCCGCTGCAAGACCTTGCTCAGCACAGTCGAAGTGAACAGAGCGGCATGCTTGACCACCACGTAGTCACCCTCATCTTCATACGGCACGCCAACCTCGTCCAGGAAGACGTCGGCAGGCTTGCGCATCACCATGGCACTGAAGAGCTGTCCGCCCAACCAAGCGCCACCTCCCGGGGCGACGCCTGCTTCGACTATGGTGATGCGCAGGTCGGGCCGCAGGGTGGACAAGACGTAGGCGCATGAGAGACCGCAAGAGCCGGCGCCGACAATGACAATGTCGGTCTCGGCGTGGGCGTCCAGGTCAGCGAAGTAGCGGCGGGTCATGGCGCGCGAAACGGTGGATTCGCGAATGGGGGAAAAGGTGAAGGCGTCAGTGCCGAGGGTGGGCATGAGCTCCAGAAGAGACTTGGACAAGCCCCTGGCATCACGCTCAACGGGGGCATCGTTCCTGCCTACGGCCTTGAGACCGACGTTGACAAGAGTGGGGACGCTCTGCGGCTCGAGAACAGAGGGAGACATGGTGACGGATTAGAGTTATCTGGGAATGTTAGAATGACTGTACGGGAGAAGGAGGAGCGGGGGAGGAAAGTTGAAGCATGATCCTTTCGCTGGTATTATCCAGATCAAGTTCGTCGCCGTATATTCTCAGCCTGTACTTCTCCCCTGGGTACAGGTGCTAACCTAATACCCAGGACAGAAGTTGGCACCGGCTCATGCATTCAGATAGTTACCTCTGAAAGTATGTTTGAACGTGATCGAATCATGGTATAATCATCCAGCCGATGGGGAGTTCATGGCTTCAGCTCCTCCTGGAACGATGGTTTGTGGCCATCTTGGTGGAGGAGGTAAGTGGTCTGTACCCTGGTGTTGAGAGTCTGTCTGCTTGCTTGAGGGTGTTAGTATATCAACACCATAGGGGAGAGGAGACAGATGAAGCCCGAACAAGCTTGGTGATACTTGCGTGTTGGTATTGCTGGTAGTCCTTGGAACGAAGACAGAGGTTGTTCGTTGATTCTGACGATGGGAAGAAGATGGAAAAGAAGAGAAAAGGCAGGCCTTGTGTAGGGGAGCAGTTGCCCTATTTATCGTTACTTGAGGTAAGGTAAGCGAGGTGGGTGCACATGTACATACGCGACTCCTCCTGCTCCCGGTTCAGTTCCCTTCGAGCTGCATCCCGTCCCCTCGCCTCGCTTGCATCCTTTTGCCCCTCTTGCCCCTCTTTCTTTCCAACACTGCATCGTACACTGAAGTATGCGTGTTATCTGAACATGCCACACCTTCCATCATCCCATGCATCCTCACCACGAATGGTTATCTCGCCTTCCTGTTCCCCTCCTTTGCCCAAGTTTCACGACATCGGCGATCCTCCGATCATGACCTAATATCAGTCCGAGACCATCAAATCGTTTTCAGTCGTCGAAGCTATCAAGATAGTTACCCCTCTTCATCTTGCCCGTGTCCAACAAAGGTTCGCTTGTTATCTCGATCCTCGACAGTGCGCGGCTTACGAACATCAATGCGTGAGCGGAACACCCCACTCTCGGTGCCGGATGGACTCGCTGATGGCGTGAACATGAGGAAAGCAAAAATGAATGAACCGGCTAACTACGCTCAGCTACGGTACAATATCAATTGAGGTCGCAATTTCAAGCAAGAGCTGCAGCTCGCCAATGATAGCGTTGGATGGATGGTACCACCGTTAACGTGTGACAAAGTCCGACACCTTGCCGACGCCGAGAACTTTAACGGCCCGAACGTTCCCTTCCCCTTCTTGGCTACACTACTAGTAAACACGGAACTACCCGCCCACCACAGTGAGCAAACAAAAGACTCACGAAAAGATGGTAGGTATTACGGTCCGTCCTACACTACACTACTATGTAACAAGCAGCATCATGATAACATCACAGCCAGACGTTGACTTTGCCGACAGACATTTTTCGTTTCTCGTCATGTTTTCCATACAGCCGTATCCCCACAATTCTACCATCCATCCATCCATGACTAACACGCTTGCTTTGTCTGCATGGTCCCTCGCTTCGCCTCACTTCTTAATAACAGAAACAGGAAACTCCCTCATCTCCATCTCATTACAACATTATTGATATATTCGCAGACCAAATATTGGGAAATTCCTCACATCCCTTGAACCGTTATGTTTCGGTGTGGGGGTGAGTGTGCCAGTTGTGACTCAAGCGGGGCAGATCGACCTCAATAGCTCTTCCGCCGGTTTTTTGCACAAGTCTCAACTGAGCAGAGCCATTACGATGTATCCAAATAGTCCAAGGACCACCCCAGCAGTAGAATGCCTGGCCTTCATGATCAAGCCAGGAGCACCAGCTAAAACAGGACCATAGCCTGCTCCGGCCGCCGTTGTCGGGCGAAACGGGACAGCTGTATTAGTTACCACCACCGGATCGGGGTCTGGTGTCGACGCCGGTGTTGTGGGAGTCATGGCGGGCCTATGTGAGTCACCAGTTGACACTCCTCCCTCTCCCGACCCCGGCGCTCCTGGCACTCCCGGTGGAGAGCCAGAAGGAGTAGGATCGTCAAGAGGAGGGTGAGGACCGTAAGTATATCCCGCTGGGGCATGCTCATTGCCACCGTTACCGGGTGTGGGAGGATCGGTATGAATCGGGACAATAGCCGGTGATGTTTCCGATACTGATGCCGCCGGCCCTGGGTACCCGCCCCCTACTCCAACAAGAGTTGACGTCGTACATTCCGACTCGCTACCAACACTTGCTGCCGGTCCTGCTGGTCGAGTCGCAATGGTTGTTGGGTTCAGCGCCGATAACCAGACCTCGGAAGAAGGACGGCCAACACCCGGGTCCATCACTGTTACCGTTGAGGTGGCGTCTGGTTCGCCGTATGAACTGCATGCATGGCAAGGGCCTCCCGGCGTGTGACCGGGAACTGTTCCAGTGTAAATTGATGTCGTACAGGTGCTGCATGGCTGGAACGTGACGGTTACGGTAGGCTCAGTTGCCGTTGTGCACGACGTCTATGTGAGACAAGGTCAGTTACACACGCACGTTCTTGTTCTGTATCGGTCGGTGATGCTGCAACTTACCCTAGTGACAGTGAAGGAATGATCAGACGAGGCAGGTGTTCCCATAATGCAAGGGTAGCATGGGAGGTTTGTTGCTGAAGTCTGGCAGATGGACCGGGACATGGTGGCAGTTGCTGAAGTGGTTGTTGTTGTGACTGGTACCACTGGCTGTCAGTATCAATCACTTAGAAAGACCTCTTTGGGATCATGTGGACTTACCCGTCGCCCCCTCAGGACAGACCTCGATCTCCTCAATCATGTATATGATCTCGACACCAATCCACCTATCACAAACTACCGGAGTTGCGGTCGGGAATGGACTAGTAACATCAGATCCTGAGGATATCGTGGAGCCGGTCTCAATACCACCCGATCCAGCACCAGTCGACACGGACGAAGAACTACCTCTTGTGTCCGTTCCGTTCACTGCAGCAGAAGACGGAGAGACTCCTAGTGTTGTCCCGGATACAGAACTACTACCACTCCCTGTTCCGCTCCCAGCTTGGCCTGTGGACACAGCAGAGCCTGGGTGAGTGTTGGCTGACTCTTGTGTCAAAGTCCACCCAGAGGGAAGGCCGGGCAGAGTAGTAGCTGATGCAGAACCAGATACAGATGTGGCTGTCAATGAATCCCCAGAAGATACTGATCCAGATACGGATGACCCCGAGCTCAACGATGACAGACTCATCGAGGGTGCACCAGACGCAGCATTACTGACAGGCTGTTCACTACTAATGGGCCCTGAGGGACTCAACGTGAGCGAGCCACCCGCTCCTGAACCGCCATTGGAAGGATTGCCCGTGCCTGTCGCCCCGGGAGCTTGTGCAGACCCAGTTGCTGAACCAGAATTACCACTTCCGCTACCATTGCCGTTGTTACTCCCACCGCCAGCTGAGATGCTGCTTGCGCCCATAGTCGCAGTACCCGATCCTGAAGCAGGGACCGGCGTAGCAGTGGCAGTGCTCAGTGAACCTGCTCCTGAGGATGAGCCTGAATTCACTGTTGTCTGACTACCGGGCACGGACGATACAGTTATTCCCGAGTAGGTGAAGGTGGCGGTTTGGTTACTGAACGGCGGGCGAGAAGACGAAAAGTGGGACGCTGACCCAGATCCAGCTCCTGCTCCGGCTCCAGCTCCAGATGACGGGCTTGCGGAGATTGGGTCTCCTGAGGCTGTTTGAGTATCCGCGCTGGTGCTGGACAAATATTGTCCAGAGTTTGTCGCAGTAACTTGGCTACTGGATGGCGGCACTGCTCCTGGATTACCACTCGTGTCAGGTCCCTCTGTATCAGGCTCTCCACTGGCGCTGGGAATAACCGTCACTGTCGATTGAGGAGCCGTATGCGGGCCCGAACTTGAACTGGATGGAGATGATCCGTCAGGTTGAGAAGATGATGATCCCGGATTGCTGCCACCGTTACCACCACCAGTACCACCACTAACACCGGACGACGGCTGCACACTACTTTGAGCCGAGGGTTGAGCTGTCACCGTCACCTGTCCTCGAGAGGCGCTGAGTTGATTACTAGACACGCCAGGCGAATCCGACAACGACCCAGACCCCGAAGAGCCTGGGATGTCCGACAACGAACCTCCTCCTGGTGTCTGGGAAGACACAATCGGCTGATCGGGCGGCTGCGCCGTCACCGTGACTGGCGGTGCTCCCGACTGTGGACCAGAAGAGGAAGGAGAGCTTGGAAGCCCCCTAGAGGTAGTGCCAGATCCAGATGCTGATCCCACAGGAGAACTGCTCGCGGATCCTGTACCAAGATCAGCCGTAACTGTCTCCTGTGAGGAGGGCGCATTACTATAATTGGGTCGACCAGAGCCGGAAGCAGTGACAGTGACGGGCCCACTTGATCCGCTGAGCGCCGAATCGCCGCTTGACTGAGACGATGGGGCCGAAGAAGAATTGCCTGCCTGTGAGGGTATCGAAGACGGAGGGGGAGAGCCGCTGAGAGATGGAGGGGAAGCTGTGACGGTGACGGGTCCTGATACGGGCTGTGATGACGACGAACCCAAACTTTGTGGTGAAGTCCCGTTAGCGGACTGAGCGGGCGGAAGAACTGTGACGGTGACTGGACCTGAACCTGATGGCGATGGTGATGGTGCGCCACCAGAGTTGGACGGAGATGATGGCTCGACGGTGACGGTTCTGGGTGGTGATCCTGATGGATCTTCTGACGGGAATACAGTCACCGTTGGAGGAGGACGGGGAGGTTCAAGCGGCGAGGTACCGTTGCCGTAAGACATACTCGAGCTGTTGCTAGGAGGAGTAACCGACGAGGGCGCAGGCAAAGGAGTTACGGTAACTGTTGGTGGAACACTCGATAGTGAGCTGGGACTGGAGGGAAACACGGTCACCGTGAGGGGATCTGTTTCCGGCCCGGTAGGACTAGGAGTGGTCGAGGTATCGATAAAGGTAAGGTTTGCTGTCACGCTGCTCGAAGGGAGCGATGCCGTGACTGTGATTACGGGCCTAGAGAAGGTTGAGTTTGCAGGCAGTGAAGTGCTCAAAGCAATTGTACTGCTGACTTGTTAGGATTCTTCCGCTGATTCTTTCGCTGTTCCGACACTACATACCTTGAGTTTGACGAGATTGTCGAACTTGGTGCGTGGCTGGTAGTCGTCGACGCAGTGTTGTCTTTGGGACGACATACTCCGGGGCTGATCATGCCATAGATGCACTTGCACGATGCCGAGCAAAGACTCTCTGGAGTGCCGTTTGCTTTGCCCTCGTCGCATTGCTCGTGGAACTTGGTGTCCGTGACATTGTTTCCGCACCCAACGGGAGTTGCTCCACGCGCAATTATGTACGGAATGCCCACGGTGCCGTCAGCAAACTCCTGCTGCCCCGGACCAGAAGCGTTCACGGCCACAGCCAGCGCGTTGAAGCCACCGGACCCGTCCCGAGGATAGTCCGAGAACACCTCATGGACACTGCAGTTCCAGTCGCTTGCTATGCCGTCGTTCAGCGAGTTCATGACGTCGGACGTGGCCACAAGATGGGCGTCGTTCAGACACGGGTGACTGAGGTTGCCCCGGACCTGGAAATTTCCGATCTCGGACAGAGACTGGACAGTCATCTGGCTGGAGTTACTCTGATAATAGCACGAGAGTGACAAGTACATGCCTGTGCCATTCTTGTTGCCGAGGGTGACGTGGCTAATGGCGTCCTTCATCATGGCATATGCACCGGGAAGTCCGAACCATTTGGCGTGAAAGGACGGGTCGGTGCCGATAAGAATCATGTTTCCCGTCACGGCCGGAGACCATTCCTTTTTTGTGTCATCTAGGAACTTGATGGTGTTGAGACTGGTGTTGCAGAGGCAGTCAGGGACGATGATAGCTTTGTACTTTGCAAAATCTTCCGTGGTCATGTTGTACCATTCTGCTTCATCTTTGCAGACGTGGGCTAATTTTTTTTTTTTTCGTCAATGTTTTTTCTTCTTGAGTGTTGAAAAGCCGTCTTATGCTAGCTTGCCTCACTCACCTGATAGTCCCAGTTTGACAGTCTCATTGTACTCTGAGTATTTCAGGCCATGCATATACGGGAACAAGACATCTTGAGCCAACGCAATGCTTGCCAGACTGGCTAGAGCCAGATGAATGATATGGGCGAGCCTCATCAGGATTTATTGGCGAAAGTTTGGTAGTGATTCTGGGGCCTAGGGAACGTAGATTGCGTGGGATAGATACGTCTATCAATTTTACTGACAGCACGTCTGAAAACGAGCGAGTGAACTCCCGGAGGGAAGGCGAAAAGAACGGGAGGAAAGGCAAGGCCGAATGAAGTTAAGTGCCAAAAAAAAAAAAAAAAAAAACACGTTTCTAGCCAAACAGAAGATGATAGGGATGAGAGATCTTGCTATATGAGCAAAAGCAATGCGTCGAGTGAAGCATAAGATTAATGAGAGTCAAGGTAACCATGGGGTTCTGGGATCTCCATGAAAGCAGGCCCAGGGGTAGTTGAGGTTTCGACATCTTTCACCTTGCTGACGTTCTCACCATTCCCCGGGATCTGGAGAGAAGCAGTTTAGCTCACCCACTGTCGGCGCCGGTGGACTAAACTGCACTGACAACAACACGGTCTATATCAGGCAATATCGTGTAGCACATTCCGAGACATGACAAGGCAAGGTAGGAGGTGTAACTGTGGTTGCCGAGGAGAGGCAGAGGCAAATCAGACACACCGGAACGAGCTTGTCTGCAACGTTGGCCATGTGACGAACCACGAGATATAGCATGAAGAAAACGTTTATGCCTGCTCTGTTATCACTACTATCTATTCTGCACAGCTGTCTTGTTGTTTCAACTGTCTGCAGACCTCGGTAGTGCTATGCTTTGGATAAAGTCACCAACTTAGAAAAACCTGAAATGCCTACAGGTAGGTAGAGGTAGGTACCTGACTCTAGCGATCCATCATCAGCCGTTCAAGATCTAAAACACAATCAACTATTATGTATGAGATTCTCCGTGGGCTTTGAGGCACTCCCAGATCTCATGTTGTGAAGCGTGGGGCGTCGAAACACAATAGCGGAGAAATTACGCAAGATTATCAGCCGCAGCGATACTACCGTTTGGCTGACTACTACGAGCTACATAGGTAGTAGGATGGCTTCCTTCCGCATATCAAGTACCTAGTCAGCCAGCCAGCCCGGTCTGACATGGTCGTCTTCACTTTCCCTGTTAGCATTGGGTGACGGACAGCGTGCCATCTAGCGTTACACAATTGGACGTTAGACATACAGATATCAACCCAGTCAGTCAGTCAGATATACATATAAGCAACGTGTAGCAAGAAGGGAAAAAAAAAAAGAGAAGACAGCCAGGATCCAGGAATCAAGTGCGTGCGAGACAGATTTGTCTTGGAGTGCAATTTTATCTCTGTCCTACCTACTTACCTTATTCTACTCCCTTTTCACGCTTTTCACCCTCTCTCTGTAAGTTGTATGCTTAATAGGCGATTTTTAAACCCCCCGGAGTACCTACTAGAGCAGAGGCAAGATCCGAAAAAACATCAGACCAGTTCAGCGACCGACAAATATGGACGGGCATGTGTGGATGGTGGCGGGGCCAAGAGAAAATGTCTTGAACTCTCAAGTGTTTATGAATCTCAGCTGACAAAGTGTTGGAAGCAAGCACCCGTTCAGCGTTTAGGCGGGGCGGCGGAGAGGAGAAGAACCGCGAAGAATGATGCGTCATACTAGTTTCACATCTCTGTATCTTGATTTGAATATCCCGAAGTTGGGAAAGTCAGTGTGATCGAGAGTGATATTATTGGCAGCGTTCGGCCCGTTGAAAGTTTTGGAGTCTTGACGCCGGAGTGGTTTGGTTTCAGCTCTCTCTCTCGTGTCCGTGACGAGTCTGATGACTGAAGAAAGACCTCGGATATCGGCGACAGCGGGATTGGAAGGAAAGAAGTTGCAGTACTAAGCTGGAGGAGTAAGTAACCGAACTCTATGATGTCAAGGTCAATTCGGGGACGACACGGTTTCATTGGGAGAGTGAGGAGAGAGCTAACGACGAAGCGGAAGGAGTCAGGGTGAGTTGCAGACGGAGTTCAGTTCGTTGCCGTGAAAATGGCCGGCGGTTGAGTAAGTAGCCTGTAAGTACCTATCTACACTGCAGTATCTGCCAGGGTGTCGGGTGCTTGCCCGATCCAGAGATTATGTAGATGAGTACAGTACCACTATCTAGATCATATGTGCAGGAAGGCAGGAACAGTGGGATCTGTTTTTGGTCTCCTCCTGTGGGAACCCAAACCCGGCAGCTATGCCAGGGGAAATGAAGTGCTCAACAGCGGGAGGTCCAGGTTATACACAGATCCAGCACTCTTCAATCTCGTACAGTGCCTCCCAGTCCACAGCTAGACCAGGGTCATCACTGTACCATATCCCCATTGACAGTGACCGCAACAGTCAAATTCTCGCCATTCTATTTTCACCACCTGTTCTAGGTGACGTCTGTCTACTCCGAGTCCTTTCCAAAAGCCCAAGCGGGCATCTTCCTCACATCCCAAATCTCAAACGGATCCGCATCCTCCTCGCTGACCAAGACCTCAGGGTGCTTAACGCCCTCCTTCTCCAACTGAGCCTGCAACTGTGGCTGCAGCCTCTTCTTCAAAAACTTCCTCTCGCTGTTGCTGTGAAACACGGTCATGACCACTTTCCCCTTCATAGTGAGCGCCAACGCATAGTGATGCGTCATCTCGCCGGTAACAATCATATCGGCGTCGCAGTTCTTGAGCACGTCGGCCCCGCTTCCCGCACAGATGCCCACGCTCCTGATGGTCGTGACCTTCTTGTCCTTGGGTGCGGCGATCATGATGTGGTTTAGCCCGCCGAGGCCCTCGGCGTAGGCCTTGATAATGTTGCCGAGGTAGACGGGGTGGCCGAGCTCGACGAGGCGGCCGTAGCCGGAGTTGAAAAAGGCCGGGGGCAAGGAGGCGGTGATGGAGCTCGAGATGGGCTGGCAGATGCTTCGCTTGGTCTCGACGCCGTGGCCGTCGAGCATGTCGGCTAGCCAGTCGTTCATGCCACCGGGCGCGGCATCGACAGCCGTGTGAGGCGAGTAGACGGCGATGTTGGCCTGAGCGAGCTGCAGGAGGATACGCTGCTGGGGGTCGGCGAGGGTGACGGACTTGAGGCCGCGGAAGATGAAGGGGTGGTATGAGACGATGACGGAGGCGCGCTTGCGGATGGCTTCCTCGGCGACGGCCACGGTGAGGTCGTTAGTCAAGAGGACGGTTTGGGGGACGTCTTGGCCGGCAACGGCAATGTTCTCTTGGAGGAGGCCAACATTGTCCCAGGCCTTGTCGGCGAGTTGCTCGGGATAGCTGGTTACGGTCAGTATCAACCACGAAGATCAGGCAGGTGAATGAATTTGAAGTCAAAGGTACTTACAGCGCCCGCATGGCGGCAACTACCCGCTTGGTGAACTGGGGGCTTTCGAGGGTTGAGGTCATTGTGATGGTGGGGTTGATGTTTATGTTTTGACAATAACCTCTTTTAAAATATCCCGAGAGAAGGATTGATGGTTTATATGGAAGTGCGAGAGGTTTGGTAGATATTCTGGAAGTGATCCGGATAGGGATCTTGAAGACTGCACTCATGAGTGTGCCCTGGGCAAGTGTTGTTGATGCTCAAAAGTGGGCAGCTCCAGGAAATTATCAATCTGTAAGGTAGTTTCGTTAGCTGGATGCATTAGGAAATGGGAGAACATCAGGTCCAAATTATTTTTCTTGTTCAAATAGGTATGAACAACATACATCTGATTTTCACTCAAACCTTTTTGTCCTCGTCAATCATCCAAGTAAAGTGTTTGTTTACAACTGAACTTGGAATCGAATGAAGAGCTCAAGGCGGGGGAAGGTGAAGCTCCCGAGTTCCTTCGAACCTTGCAAAGCTCCCCATCTCTCCGTTTTCAACCCTAACCCTTAGTGTACTGTAGTGGAAGCTCCATGCCAAGACCTTCAATTCGCGGGGCATCTTTTTCATACTCACTTCAGGTTGCTGGTCCCTGTCAATTATTCATCGATTTTGTCTTTCTTCCTTTCACTCTTTCTGCCACAAAATAAGGTCTCCAAAGATCACTGCACTTCCTCCTACATCGGACATCAGGAACTCATCCTACCATACAATACTAGCACACAAAAATGGCCGACAACCAAGAACCAGCAATAACCGAGGACTTCCTCTCCGCCGCCCTCAAAACGCGGCTCAATGCCACTCACGTGGAAGTAACGGACATGTCGGGTACGTACATGCATTTCACATAACATTTTTTGTTGTCTTTTCCGTTGTTTAGGTACACTGCATAACCGTTCGTTCGGTTCCCTCCCGTTTCCCGAATCCAATATGCTGCACACACACACATACATATCGAGGACCTACCTCTACTCTGTACTCACCTACCTTCCCGCACCCTTACCCTGACGTCATGTCACGGACGGTGGTCCGGAGTCTCAATGAACAATCTGATAAGATCTTGCCATTCCCTCCCTCCCCCAACCACACACCATTATCACCCTCCCTTTTCTGCTTGCTTCCCTCCATCACCCCATCATCCCTTCGGCCCCCCCCCCCCCAGAATCAAGTATACTAAACTAAGCTCCACCTCCCTATCCAAAAAATAAAGGCGGTTGCGGCGCCTCCTTCACCTCTCTCATCGTCTCTCCGGACTTTGTCGGCAAGAACTCGCTCAAGCGGCACCGGCTCGTCAACGCCGCGCTCAAGGATGAAATTGCGCGGATTCACGCGTGGAGCGCAAAGTGCCAGACCCCCGACGAGTACGCAAAAGAAAAGGCGGCGACGGGCGGGAACGACGGCCCGCCCATGGACGGGACGAATGCTCAGGGCAAGGTGGAGGGTGTGACCGAGTGATGTTGAAAGGAGGGAAAAGGGAGAAGGTTCGGATCTGATCAAGGGAACCAGAAAGGAAAGGAAGGGGAAGGAAAGAAAAGTGAGGTGGTAGTCCAGGAGGAAAATCTTGCTGTAGTGGTGGTGTACCTGGATGGGCATAAACAGCGCGTATTGCCCAAAAAGGGCGGCGTGTAGTCTCGTGGGAGACTTATGAAGCAAGGGTGGAAGATGGGAAGGAATGACAGAAAACGAACCATGGCGATATAGTGCAATGTGCAATCCTTGCTCGGTGTATTACGTTTCTGCCTGTTATGGGACTTGATCCGCGCTGTACCTAGGATGAGAGAAAGAAACAGGAATCTGATCGGTAAATACTCGACACTCGCCTGCCCTCCATTTCTCTACGAACCATTACATTTCGGCGTGGACAATTACACCTGCTCGATACTTGCTCCCTCACCTGAAGCCGGATCGTCTGTCTTCTCTTTGTTCCTCCGCCACATAAGCCAACTCCACCGATTTACGTTCATCATCGAGGCCAAAAATCTTCCTATCCGTTCCATCATTGTCCATATCCATGAACCGCCTCCACATATCTGATGCTGATGGAAAAGGCCATGTCGGAACCCTCCCCTTGTTGCTCCAGACCTGGTAGAGAATCTTGATGGGGAGTCAGACTTTGTTCGTCTGTCTCTGAGCGCAGGCCTTTTCCGACCATCTCTTCTCCCACCCAAAACGTCGTTTTCGTTGGCCGTGGACGAACATGCCCTCACCCTACCATGGTCATCAGTCGTCTGCCATGGGTTCGTTGAGGGCGGCCTATTAAGCAATTCACTGGTATATCTGTCAATCCGGTTTCCCATATTCCTAGCCATTCTCATGCCCCAGCGAGTCTGGAGGACAAATATGACCATGAAAAAAGGGATGCAAACCGCTATGAGAGTGACAGGAAAGCGCCAGTCATCGACCGATATCTCGAGAGTGGTGATACCAAAAACGGACTGAGATCGAGTTAGTAGCGAACCTTTTTCTTGACATGCATAGCAACTCAATCCAGGGTGAAAAAACAGGCCTTTTTTTTCTGTCACAGATAGGGTGCAAGGTACAGGTTGGATAAAGAGAAAAGCGGGCAAGGGAGTGTAGGTATATATATGGTAGTGAATACAACGGAGGCTGGGGATGACGAACACTCGGCACTTTGTATGATAAGAGGGGAGAGTGGGGAATCAGAAGAATACGAAAAGTTTTCGTCTTCAAACAGGAGGCCGTCCCGAAGCTCAGAGTTGAACATGAATTGGCTCTATGAACAAGTATCTTAGGTTAGTGGTGAGTCTGGTATATTGCTCAAGCGACAAAGTTCTTACCGGCGGTGTGATGAGCTTTGTCACCTCGTCGTTGATCTGGCTGTATCTTGTAACGGCATCATGGTACTCAAGAGCCAAACTATCCAGAAATGCAAGTGGGCCATTGCATAACGGCCGTTTTGACCCCTCGCTCCTCATCGTGTGCTCGTCATCTGGGAAGCACTGGATACTGAGAAGTTGCCATGGTGCCGAAGTGTCAAAAATAACATGGTCCTTGATATCTCGTTTCTTCACCCGTGCCCGGTACTTTTTGATTGGATCACCGCCCAGTGATAATGCCAAGATTGAGCTGCACTCTGCGATGTCGACATGGTCGGGCCATTTTCGGTCAGCCGGACGTCTATCATAACGTTGCCACGGTGCAGGGGTGCACTTATTCTCATTTACAACAGTATAGTACTTGAAGACGAAGAAGAATGTCCGGTGCCTTAGAGGGTTGGATTCGGTAGTTCGATCCATATAAGCCTAGGTTGGTATATTCTGTTAGATCGACGAGTTAATTGACTGATGGTATCACGCACTTTGGTCTTCCCGTTATTTCCTTCACTGGAAATGAGGTGTTGGAATAGCTCGTCCATATCGAAGTGTTTCCGCATGGTCATATGGACTGCTCCGAGTACGAGAGGGGGGACCTCTTGAAGAATACTTGATCCCGTCAACAAGAGTGTTCAAACTTTCGCAATAGCAAATACACACTCACGTTATTCTTCCGACCGCCTTCCCATTCATGTTCACCTCTTTAAGAGTATCCCAGACGCTATTGATGCTGAGGACTTGTTGAGGGTCGTCTCCGTTCTCTTTGTGTTTGGGCTCGGGCATGCACTTCTGATCACCACTCCCGGGTATCTCGTATACCTCGTATGTGGCATTCTTGTATGTGTCGTCACCTCTTTCTTCCCATGGTTCCAAAGATTGTTGTGGGGCATTAATATACTCATCCCCATGCCGAACCTGTAGGATTTCTTCCACAGCCCAGTTGGTGCTATTGAGTGATGCCAGATGTGTTCTCAAATCTTGCTCCGTAAAAGACTCTTGCTCGATTGGCTTGGTGGTGCAGAAGGAATGGCACAGCAAATCATCACCATCGTTATCGGCTATTGTGGGCGTCTGAGATGCTCTGTCGTTGGAAGACGCTTGAGTTGAAAAGTGATATGGTCTCGAGCTATGCAGCTCGTCCGTACGATGCTAACAACGATTGGAACCGAATGTGCACCAAGAAAGACTATCGTGGGAGAAAGCCGAGCCCCTAGGCGGCGTAGGCAGGGGGCTGTCGTGGCTGCGTGAGCGTTCAATCCCACTACTCTTTGGGAGAACAGTAGGGGAGTTAATATTGAGTGTCAGTCCATGAAGGAGCCGAAGATTGGCGATATATAGTTCGTGGTGTAGTTCCATGGCTTTGAGTAGTTCATCCGGATTGTTGGAGAGTTTCATAATGAGTGTGCAAATTACAAAGTAATGGATGAGGGGAGTTTCAATCAGAGACAGACCGGGACGAGGATCAGTTGGGGCAACCATGCTTCAAACCTCGTGCTTTTCGAAAACTGATCACTCATCGATATCCTACCACTAATGTAAGCTGGATATCGTGGATAAGTGTGTTCTCCGTTTGATGGACGACGATAATCTGACAGGGCCTTGCAAATGCCACAAAATAATGAATGAACAAGGGCGAAAAGGTTCGTGATAGCCCGCCGTAGAGACGTCGAGTAAAGAGAGATGTTCAGCCGGATTTCTAGGAGCGGAGAATAAGGTGGCTGGAGGTCGTGCTTCTGGAACATTTGTCAATGAAAGAATGGGGAGTCTTGTTCGTCTCAAATTGAGATACCCCCAAAAAGATGAGAAGTGAGAAGTGATGGGAAGTGGCAATCACGAACCTTTGACCCAGCTGGTAAGTATGACTCCTGTAAGGTGAAGTGACTGAGGTTGCCTGTAATATGTCGGTCGCATATCAGAGGAAAGAGGCATGAAGTATGAGGTAGTAGCCATCCACCGAACGAAAGGGACAGACAAGCTAGGTAGGTACCTGTGGGTAATTGTCCTTCTTCTCCTTTCTTTGATCCAGCCGAACAACTCCTAGTGGACAGAAAAGTCGACCGCATCGATATCCTTGTTGTTCTTGCCGGTCATCGGATCACTACATATTAATTGGCTCTGTACTACTATGTATTTTGAACGTAAACATGCACTCAACCCTCTTCTCATTCTTGTGGTCCTCGACCTCATCAAAGTTCCTGCTTATGCCACACTGAACTCGGGAATCTCACCCATCTCGGCCTTTGCTTCCGCTCCAACCTTGTATGATACCCTCCACCTGAGTTTCACGCTCTCTACCTTCCTGGTCTTGTCCGCCGTATACCATACGTTGACTGACTGGGTAATGCCCCGGCTCTGCTTGGGGGCAAGAGTCCGTCCTGTTTGAGGCTGAAGTTGCAATTCGTATCCCTGTTCAAGCATCACAGTTAGCATCTCGCTTGAGGGCTTTCTACAACTGACGAAGGCACATAACGTAGCCCAAAACATTTTTGGTCAAAGTGCTAAGGGTCAGATTAGTGAGCTTACCTTGGTGACAGCCAACTGGAAATGCACCTCGGTGATGGGTTGCGCTGTGTTGTTGCTAAAAGCAAATTGCATAGAAATGGCTGGAGATGGGCCATTGGACAGAGATCTGACAGCCACCATGTCGACCTTGAGCGCAGTGTTGGAAACAACGGCTCTGTGCTCCTTAGGCTGGGCGGGTGTCGCCTCAGGAGGCAGTGCCGAGGAGAAAGACCACTCGTCATCGTCATTACCGGTAGCAGCTGGTGCTGGCGCTGGCGCTGGGGTAGATGAAGAGGAGAGAGAGGCTAGAGCAGCAAATGGGTCGTTGGACGCTGTTGACGACGCAGCTGGCGCGGGAAAAGCGGATGCCGTATACGCAGGAGGCTTGGGGGTGCTTGATTGAGAAGCAACTGGTGATGCGAATGAGTTGAAATTGTTGAAAGAAGATGGGCCAGGTTGAGGGGAGGGGCCCCGTGCGGTGCTGTTCTGCGTAGTGGATGAGAGCAGTGCCGGTCCAGGAATGTCTGTGGTGAGTTATTAGCAACATTCTCTCTTTGACTCTTGCACGGAAAGCAGCAAGTGACATACTCGTATTGGCACCGAACCCGAGCGCAATGCCACCTCCTTGACCATAAGAGCTGGTTTCACCCAGCGACAGGCCAAGCAAGTCGTTTTCAAGGCTGTTTCCCGCCTGGGGTGCGGACTGGCTGGTCGAATCTCCTCCGCTTGGCTCAGCATCAAAATCAATGAGCGACAGCTCTTGCGCCGCACTCTTGCCAGTACCACTTCCACTGCCGTTGCTTGTGCTTGAAACTGGCGCACCACTTGCCAATGCCTTGGCACCCTCTATGTCGCCCTTCTTCAGCAACCTATATCTCTCCACAGTTCGGTGTATGCTGTCGTTGATTTCGAGAAGTTTTGCGACTGCTTCATGGTCGTCCGATTCTTCCTCGCACATCTTCTGAATCTTTGGCTGGGCACTAGACAGGGCGGCTGCGAGCTCGGAGAACACGTCGCCATCCACGATCTTATCGCCGGGTTTGAAGGCTTCTAACCGCTCCTCGAGAAGTCTGGCTTTTTGTTGGATTTTGCCCACGTCCTCGGCCGCCTTGGCGCGGTAATCAACCTTGGATCTCGTGTCATAGCCAGCCATGACCTTCATGAGTCGATTAGCCTCCTGGAGGTCCTCGGGAGTACCTCGACGGATAAGCTCCTGCAGCTTGGCGGACTGCGCCTCGCGTTCCTCCTCTTCCATTTCCTCGACAGACTTTAGGTTCTGTGAGAGATAGGTTAGACACGCTTCAACAATGACCCATGGCATCGGGACGGAACACTTACATCACTCGGGTTAAGCACAGCAGCATCCTCCCTTCGGACTTCGGGGAAGGTGTACCCCTTGTAGCTCAGTAAGCGGTGCATGTCCCTGATGAAGCCCAAGTCCTCTTTATATCTGCTCGTCTCGCAAATCGTACAGCGCCATTCCTCAATGGCTTCGAGGATCTTGAGCTGGACACGGGTGGGGCGGATCGGGGGCCGCTCGGGAAAGCGGCGTACCAGCTCATTGAGAAACTCCTTTGTGCTGATCTGGAGGTGGAAGGGGTAGCCGCAGTTCTTGACGCAGATGTCGAGCAGGTTGAGGGCAAGCAGCGAAACGTTGGGGTTGCGGTTGTTGATGTAGTTGACAATGGCCACGGCGGCCTCTCGAGGGGCGGAGCCCTTCTTGGAGTTGATCAAGTCGGCGATCTCGAGGTTCAGGGCCAAGTTGGGTTCGTAGTTGTCGGGACTGCAGGCGGCCGTGATGAAGCGCTGAAGCTGGGACGGGGCCGGGCGGCCCATCTCGGCCCACCGGTCGCGCGTGGCATAGCGGGCAGACGCCGCCTCCATGTTGCCGGCGTTCTCGGGGAGTCGGGAGGTGTTGAGTGGATGAAGAGACTGACGAGACTGAAGAGACCGAGGAGGTATTGGGGCCAGATTGCGCAGCTTGGCGGGAGGCGCCTGGATAGGTAGGTAATGGATGGCGGCAGCCAGGACCCGAGCCTTTGGTCGGTCAAGCTCTAGTCAGTCTAGAGGAGTTGTGTGCTGAGGTAGTGAAGCTCCCCTCTAGGTTCCCGGTGAGCCGTTGGGATTAAGTTTCCGGTTGGACCTGCAACAGGATGTTTTGAGGGAGATATACGATTACCAAGTATGGTGAATAGAGGTAGGAGGTATGGTACCTTTCTACAGTTTGATATCCTTACACCCAGAGACTGGAGTATGATTCGATCCGTACTTCTGTACCTAACGGGAATGTGTCCACCGGGGATCGCTGGCTGATGGAAGGAGGAGAGGCCTGCTGCTAGGGGACGGGAGCTTACACGGCTAGGTCAGGTCGTGGACCCCTCTCAGTGCTCTGGAGTCTGGACGGACGGGTGGGGCTTGGGCCTGCGCTGTTGCCTGCCGTTGTTGGGGCGCAAGGAAAAGTGGAGCCGCACATCGGTACGTTGCGAGACTGCGTTACAAGAATACTATCTCTGTGAATGAATAATACGCTTCTATTCGATCCCACGGCACCTCGACAAGCGCCTCCAGCATGGTGCAAGCACGGGAGACGCTTGCAAATCGAGCATCTTCCGCAGCAACAACCGGTGAGTTGCATGAATCCGGGGAAGATGTCAATCATGGACATCCTCAGCGGACCCACCTGTCCACCCCACCTGCATCAACCCCAAATGCGATGTCGTCAAGGTCTTCAAATCGCATCCATAACTTTTTCGCCATCTGCCACTTCAACCTTGTAGCGCAAGCAGCTCGCATTGTGGTCCAACACGGCACGCACATCATACATACATACATACATACATACATATCTACGACACCCGCCTTCCTTTCATCCAAGTTTTGCCCTGGTGAAACAAGGCAGTGCTAGGTCGTGCCAGAATCATCCATCCATTGCGACATAAAACATCTGCACTCCATCTCGACAACATCCTTCCGACGGAATTCGAACCATCACCACCATGGTCCGCCACAAAAAGGACGGCTTCTCCTCACGCGGCGGCAAAGGCGGCCACGGCCGGAACCCGCCCCGCAACAACCCCCGCAGCAGCAAAGGCCCCCGAGACAATGCCGGCAGCGGCGGCGAAGACACCACAGCCAACCCCCACGACCCGTCCACGTCCTCACGCCCCTACCGCCCTCCCTTCAAGGCCGCCTGCTGGGACCTAGGCCACTGCGACCCGAAGCGGTGCTCAGGCAAGAAGCTGATGAAGCTCGGTCTCATGCGCGAGCTGCACCTTGGCCAGCGACACTCGGGCGTCATCATCACGCCCAACGGCAAGCGGGTCGTGTCGCCCGCCGACAAGGAGCTGATGGAGCAGTATGGCGCGGCCGTGGTGGAGTGCTCGTGGGCCCGCACCAAGGAGGTGGAGTGGAAAAAGGTGGGCGGCAAGTGCGAGCGCTTGTTGCCGTACCTGGTGGCGGCCAACACGGTCAACTATGGTAAGCCGTTCCGGCTGAACTGCGTGGAGGCGCTGGCGGCGGCCTTTGCCATCTGTGGTCATTTGGAGTGGGCGGAAGAGATTTTGGCTCCGTTTTCGTACGGCAGGGCTTTCCTGGATATCAACTCGAAGCTGTTCAAGATTTACTCGGCGTGCAAGGATGAGGAGGAGATCAAGAAGGCGGAGGAGGCGTGGAGGGAGAGGCTAGAAAAGGAGTATACAGAGAGCAGAGAGGGAGAGTCGGATGATATTTGGACGACCGGAAACACAAATCGGAGGCCAGCTATGGATGACTCAGATGAGGAGGACGATGACGAAGACGACGAGGAAGATAGCGACGAGGAGGAAGACAGTAACGACGAAGATGGCAGCGTAGACGGTATCTACCTCGGCACCAAACCACCGCCCAAACAGAAACAACCAGCCGAAGAGGAGTCAGAGGAAGAAGACAAGGACCCTTTCGCCATATCCGACGATAGCGATGATGAAGCCGAGATGGAGGCCATTCGGCGCAAAATCCTCGCCTCCAAGTCGTTTGCCAACCCCGAACCGCCCAAGAAGACGGTCGAGACCATTGCCCGACCGCAAGGGCAGTACAAGCCAGATTCCGATGCCGAGCCGGATTCCGACAATGGGGAGGAGGATGACGAGTTTGACAATATCATTGCTGCTACGCCCATTACCGACAGGATAGGACTGCAGAAGCTGGAGAAGGAGCGGGCGCGGGCTACATTGACAGGCACCTTCTCGTCTGCTTCCATATCTGCACCCAGAGGAGGAAGATAAAGGAGATTCGATGATGAGGGCACTTGGTGAAATCAGGAGAATCATACAACGAGACAAGGACCATATATAAATACATTACATTTTACCCCTTGAAATGAAGCTGGTTATGCTCATTTCCCATCAAACCCTCGATCAATTCATACATGCACTACTATTGTTGACGTAGTTGTATCATGTCGGTCTATACATTGGCAGCTGCTGGTATATACAATACTATCTATATCCGCCATCATCCATCTTTTTCCCGCAGATACCCATCTTCTCATAACTCCAGGATTTGCACAATCGTACATGTATAATAATTTTACAACAGGATAACAATCCTTTACAGATACCTCCTCTCTCTAATCTCCTCCACAACCTGGATGAGATCTCCTTCCTTGATGTCGTCAAACTCGCCAAACTCGAGACCGCACTCGGTGCCCTTGCGCATCTCCGTAACCTCCTTCTTGCCGTGCTTGACTGAACTGATGGTACCTGTGTTTTGTTGTTTATTAGCAAAATTGGCATCAAGATAAACCACCAAGAAAAAAAAAAAATTTGATCAACTCACCATCAAAAACAACCTCTCCCTTCCTCTGCAACCTCACCCGTCCATTCCTCATCACCATCCCATTCCTGACCTTGACACCCGCAATGTTCTTGTACTTCCGTCCCTTGATATTAATAGCAAACACCTGCGCCACCTCGGCCTCGCCGAGTACTTTGTACGAGATTGTGGGGGCCAAGCTCTCGCTCAGCACCTGGCGTACCTCCTCGGTCAGGTTGTAGATGATGTTGTGGTCCATAATCCTGACCTTATTTTCGACCGCCATGCGCTTGATGTGGCCAGGGATCGGGTTGTTGAAGTTGATGATGGTGCTGCCCGAAACCGCGGCGTGCTCGACATCCGATTCGGTGATCTGGCCCGGGCTCGACAGTAGCACGCGAGGGCGCACCTCGTTGCTTCCGATCTCTAGGATCGACGCGCACACGGCCTCGACCGAGCCGTGCACGTCGCCCTTGACGGTGAAGTTGATCATCTTGGGCCCATCTGGCTTCTCCTCCGCCGCCTCGGCTCCATCCTCACCCTTCTCAGCCTCCTCGGCCGCGATTCGTTCGGCCTCACGCTCGCGCTTGAGCCGCTCCATCTCCGTGATCTGCTCCATGGCCTCCTCGCGCTCCTTCTGCTCGATGCGATAGTGCACCGCGCTCTTGGCTTTGTCTTCGTTCGGGGCCTGGAGAACCATGTCACCCGCCTCGGGTGGCTCCTTCCAGCCGAGAATCTCAACGGCTGTTCCGGGGGGAGCCTCTTCGACCTCAATGCCCGCTTCGTTGCGCAGGCTGCGCACCTTGGCGAAGACACGGCCAGCAACGATGAAATCGCCGGGACGCAGGGTGCCGCGCTTGACAAGCACGGTGGCCACGCGGCCAATTGGCTTGATACTGGACTCAAGAACCCATCCCTCGGCCATGCCGTCGAACTCGGCGCGGATGTCGAGCATCTCGGACAGAAGAAGGATGTTGTCCTCGAGATCGTCCATACCTTGACCGGTCTTGCCGCTGACGCAGACAACCTGGACATCGCCGCCATAGTCCTCGATCTCGACGCCGTTGGCGGCCAAGTCAGACTTGACGCGCTCGACGTTTGCTTGGTCCTTGTCGATCTTATTGATGGCCACGATCATGGGTACCTTGGCGGAGCGAGCATGCTTGATGGCCTCGATGGTCTGCGGCTTGACACTGTCGTCGGCGGCGACAACCAAAATCACAATGTCGGTGACGTTGGCGCCGCGCTGTCTCATGGACAGGAAGGCAGCGTGGCCGGGGGTATCCAGGAAGGTGATTTGCTTACCCGAGGACATCTGCACAGAAAAGGCACCAATGTGCTGGGTAATTCCACCGTGCTCACCGGCTGCGATCGAAGACTTCCGCAGGAAATCGAGCAGAGTAGTCTTGCCGTGATCGACGTGTCCCATGATAGTGACAACTGGTGGCCGTAGGGGTACGCTAGAGGGGTCTTCAGGAGGAGGGCGTGGCCTCAAGTCCTCATCCTCACCAGCGTCGACTGTTGGCTCAAAGCCGTACTCTTGGGCAACCAACGCGGCCGTCTCGCCGGTCATGATGCTATCCTTGGCGATGTCTTCAAATCCGAGCTCTCCCAGTTGGGAGATGAACAGGTCGGTCTTCACGCCAAGGGCCATGCCGAGGTTGGCAACGCTAATAAACTCGGGAAGGAGAATAGGAATAGGGCCAGTCTCCTCATACTGGAGCCGCTCCTTCTCAGCCTTCTTGGCCAACCTTTCACGGCGCTTGTACTCATACGCCATATCATCGAAATCATCGTCTTCGTTGTAGTCGCGCCGCCTACCCCCTTTCTTTTTGGGCTTCTTTTCCTCCTTGATATACCGCGAGGGAATCGGTATCTCTTCCAATGCAACCCTATCGCCTCTTGTTTGTCTTGCATTATCTCTGCCCCTGGGCTTTTCAAAGTCTTGCTGCTCCAGCTTCTGTCCTTCCTTCTCCTTAGGCTTCCCTCCGTAGTCGTCAGCCCAATCCCAGCCATCCGACATCTGCTTCTTGAACGCTTCGGTGGCCTCCCGAGTGCTCTCGGAAGCCGCCTCAGGCTGCGCTTGAGGTGCTGGACTGGTTGCATATCGATCTTCAGCTTGCTTCCAAAAGTTGTGACTATCTCTGGGCTCCGAACGTTTTTCTGTTTCAGAAGGGGGAGCGGTCTTGACAAAATCGTTATTGCCAGTCAATCGGCCGTTCCCAACGTTTGCCCCGGCTGTACGGCGGATGAGCCCTGCCCATTGCCCCTCGGTTTCACGCGAAGATTTGGAATCCGATGGAGGTGCAGGTGGAGGTGCAAACTTTGATGAAATCGACTGGTAAACCTCACGAGCTGAAGTTCTGCGTGCAGAAGGAGGAGGAGGCGGGGGAGGCGGAGGCTGAGTGGAAAATATGTCATCCCATGCATCTGTATTGTCCGCACGACGCTCCTCTTCCTCGGCGTTCAGCAAGTCGTTCTTGAGAGAACCTGTCTCCTGACGTTTCCGTAGATCCTTGGCCGAAAGTTGACCTGTCTGTCTATCATGGGCAAAGAGACCATCAGCAAGGCTCTTCAGATTTTTTGCTGGGGCCTGAGGGTGGCTCTGAGCATGTCTTTGCTGTAACCGATCCCTGGCTACTTTTTCGTGGGGAAGAAGTCGTTCTGTCTGAGATTGGCTGGCTGGCTGACTGGAGGCTGAAGAGGCACCCCAGCTGCTTGCTCCCCAGCTGCTTGTTCCCCATTCTCCACTGGCCGGCTTAATAGGCTGGCTGGACGCCGAACTGGCGGCTTCCAAAGCATCCCAGCTGCTTTTCCCCGAAGCCCCATCAGTTTGTTCACTGAGTTGGCTGGCTGGGCCCGGCTTTAATGATGCCCCGCTGGAAAGGCTCGATAGACTGCTGACAGTTGGTTGACTTGGACTTGCTGGGGACTGTGTCGGTCGGCTGGGGGTCGGTTCGCTAGAAGCCGTTTGACTGGAAGGTGATTCCTTAGGAGCTGGCTGTTGAGTCTGAGGCGCCCGTGCCGGAAAACGTCTTATACCAAAAGGCTCCAAGACTTTGCGGACAGGAGCCTGGTTCCTTTGGGCTTCACGCTCAGTTTTGGGCCCTGGTGTTTCTGTTGTAGGGTCTTGACCTGGTTGTTTCGGGTGCAGAAGCATCCTACGCACCACAGGTCCCTGCTGTTCCTTGCGAGGCGGAGCCCTATTGAACTCGTTCTGTTGACCTTCAGGTAGCCGGCGCACCGGACGGTCACTCGAGGCGCGTTTGGGAGGTTCTGGTGCCGGGTTTCGGGCGGGCTGCGGAGCGGGCTGAGCAGCCACAGCGGCCTCAGCCATGCGCAACAAGCGCTGCCTAGCGGCGATTTCGTGAGGAAGCAAACCAGCGTTGGCGGACTTGGGTTGACTTTGTGCCGTTCCTGTTTCGGGTGTCGTTTGAGTGGCTGGGGTCGCAGGGGCGGCCGGTTTCCAGGAACCACCCCATCCTCCTCCTCCTCCTCCTCCTCCTCCTCCTCCTTCTCCTCCGGCGCTCGGTGTCGCAGGCTGTTGTTGGGTACCCCAGCTAGGTTTGTCGTCCCACGAAGAGTATACGCGGCGGGTATTCGGATGCATTCGTTGCTGCTGTTGCTGGCGAAGTTGCCATCTGTGGCGGCAGAGCAAACACACAGAGGAAGTGCTCTGCTTCTATTTCCAGTGGTTGTTTCCCATGTCAGCCATCTATTTGACTTTTACTGACTTCCTGCTCGACGTCGTCATTGAGCAATGCGCGCATTGGGAAGCGCACTTACCTGCAACAGTCCGCCCCTCATCATCTTGTTCTATCACAGGGCATAGTTTGCCCAGCAGGACCAGACCAGAGAGGAGATAGAACAAGAGCCTGGCGCGAGAGCCAAGGTGGAATTTTGTAGGTAACTTACACGGGCGATCCGTTCCGTCCCGCAGTTCGCCAGAGCTTCGTTACTGGTGCTGCCGCAGCGCGCAGCGCTTCATAATTAAAGTGGGCACCCGGTGACTGATAAGATAAAACATCATTATGTAGAGGTAGGTACTTCCTGTACATGCTTGGTTCAGTTGTGAAAATAGTGAGGGGCAGCTGTCCAGCGAGCAGTTGAGGAGCCGGGTTAGGGTCAAGGCAGGTGCTTTTGCCCAGAGGCCAGCTTCAGGGGCTTACAAACAATGCAAGGTACGTACCCCGACGTGGACCCTTTTGGCCTCTAGAAATCTGGCCCCAAACCCCAAAGCTTCTTTCAACGAAGCCGCCAACTTCCACTTCCCTCCATTCCTTCACCGTCTCTTTTTTAACTATCTTCTTTCATTTGCTCGTCAAATTCCCTCATCATCACACCCAAATTGTCGCCAAACATGGCGCCCAAGAAAACCAGCAAAGGAGCACGCGGCGGCGGTAGCAGCAGCTCCGGCGGTGCTCTCGAGCCGCCCAAACCCTTCCGCATCGCTCCGGACTCGCTCAAGGCCTTCACCTCTTCTCTCTCCAAGAAGCATGTCTACATCGCACATGTCGACCAGAAGCCGGCCTCCTTCAAGCGCAAGATCTTTTCTGTGCCGATTATGCTCAACGCCGTCGTCTTTGCCCTCTTCCTGTGGCGCATGTGGTACATCATTCCTTACTACGTCGCGCTTTTGTCTTCCTCGTTCCTGGGGTACGAAAACTCTACAACGATCCGCATGGCCGACCTGACCTATCGGCAATTTTTTGCGGTGGCCGGCCGGCGCACGCTTACGTTTCTGTTTGATTTCGTTCTCGCCGTGTTCGTCTGGCCTTGGCCCATCGAGTTCGTGTTCGGGCGCAAGCACGGCAGTCCCGTGTTGTGGCGAACGGCCATTGGGTTCCGCGACAAGGAGATCTACGTGCGCCGGTCGCGGTCGTGGGACACGCAGGTGTATGGTGTGGATATCTTTTCGGAGAAGCCGCAGGGCAACGAGGCGCGCACGATTCTGTGGGACATGGTTCGCAACGCAACTTCCCCGATGCTGCTGCAGGAGAAGACGGGATACTTGACCATGAACGGGGACTGGGACTTGGATTGGAAGGCTATGGTTAAGGCGACTACCTTGGTGGATAAGAAAGAGATTCCCCTGGACGCGTTCAGGACGCTCGTGCTTTGCCACCATGACAAATTCGGGTGGATTGCGATTGACATGAATGAGTCTGGGGAGAATGCGCAGGAGGCTGAACGCAGGAGGCAGGTTTTTGCGTTCCGTGATGCGCTGACGGCCATTGGAAAGGAGAACCTTTTCTATCGCTGGATCGAGGTCATTCAATTTGAGACCCAGCAAGGCGGCTTTACGCAGGAGCGCCAGATCGAGGTGGCGCAGAAAATTCGGGATCTGTTCAAAGAAAATGGAGTGGACTTTGACGCGTTTTGGAAGGAGGCTGTTGGGTCGGATCCCTCAGTTGGGATATAATGACCTACCTTGAAAGAAAGAAGAGAAGGGTGGAAAAGGCAACGACATATACATGTCATACCGGCTGAGTAGACGGGAACAAGGACAAAGTTCACGAGCAACATATAGACCATAATTGCATATACAGGTATACAGGGCTGGACGAATGAAAGGCACCGGAAGAAATTCGAATAAATGCCACTGCATGTTCGCAGCGATCCACGGGGAATAGACGAAGAGATCGAGAAAGAAAACACCATCCTCACTGCCTTCATTTCTTGCTGCTCTTGGCCTTCTTCTGAGGACCAAGGGCTGCTTCACGCCTCTTGGCCTCCTTGGCCTCAAACTGTTCCCTCTTGAGCTTCTCCTGGGCTTCGCGTTCTTCCTTCTCGGCCTATCAAAATCGGAGACGGTTAGCAGCAAGTCCCGTATGATGTACGATGGCGGAGCAACAACAAATATGCCACATACCTGTTTCCTAGCAGCCTCCTGCTCTCTCTTCTCACGAATGAGCCTCAACCTCGCAAGATCGGCCTTGGCCTGATCCGTCTTGCCGGCCTCATGAAGCTTCTGATACCTCTCCTTCGCCGCAGCCGCCGCAGCCGCCTCACGCTCCTTCCTGTTGCCGGGTGCCGAGTCCGCTATGCTAAGCTTCTTGGCGCGGCTAGCGACAGCCTCATCATCCGATTCCTCCTTGGCGACGGGCTTCTTGGTCTGGTTGCGCGCAGCCTTGGAGTGGTTGGGGTTGGCGGGCATGGGCGCGTCGTTGGCGTCGTCCTCGCTCTCCTCCTCCGAGTCGCTAGGGGGCAAGTCGCCAACCTGCACCGCGGCGGCCTTGGCGCGCGCGATGGCTGCCTCCTTCTTCGCCTTCTTTTGTGCTTTGAGTTCCTCGCGGGTCAGCTCAGCCTTGGGGGCCTTGCTAGAGGGGCCGGCAGCCTCGTCCTCGGAAGACTCCTCCTCGGAGGATTCCTCCTCGGATTCGGACTCCCTGTTCTTGCCGCCGCCGGCGCCCCACATGCCGACTTCGTTGCCGTCGGCGTCGAGGGGGCGAAGGTCGCGGGAGAAATGGTGGCCACCTGGAAGGAAGGTTGGTGGTTAACAGACAGGATTGTAGCAGGTAGGGAGAGTACTGCTCCGGCAGCATCTGTGTTATTAACATACCTCCACGAGTGTACTTCTTGAACTTGCCGCCACGTCCACGACCAGCCGGGCCACTACCGCCTGCCATTTTGTCTTTGATCTTTGGGGGGTATAGGACGGTTTTGTTTGAAAAGTTGATTATCGACGGATTTCCGGTCGAGTGTCGTGGGTATTTAGGAAATTTACTCGAATCGCGCGACGAGTCGTAGGAATGGGTGTAACTACCAAAAAGGAAGTCGAGCTCGATGAGTCTTACAACAATGCAACAGAACGGCACAGCGTTTTACTCGAGTTTGTCGCAGAAAGTTAATGGGGCTTCCTGAGTGGGAAGACATCCACCTCCGACTTGAGAATCAATGCCCCGCAACACATCCCTCTACAGTATGAGGCAGGTACCCGACGCACAGTATGTACACCCTGACGGAACGTTAGAGGTCTCGGTATGTTCACTGACACTGGCTGCAACGCAGGCTTACCCAACCGCCTATCTACGAGCCATGATTGGTCAGCTCCCTTATCGCACTACAACCCCACTGTAAGCTACGAGGTCAGTGGCTTGAGTTCCACCAATTCTTGCGTTTCGTAGGCTGTGAGGCGGTGCAGCCCGGCAGCTACAGAAGTGGCTTGCGTTTGCTTTAAAAGTCTGTCTCGGGTCGCCCAATTTTGGGATTCCTCTTTTTCTTCTTTTTTTTTCTCTTCACAACACATAAAACATATGTTCCTTCATATTCACTCCGGTTTCCGTCTACTGCAATGACATTCTGGAGGGGAAAGTGGAGGATAGAAGAGAATTCTCAAGCTCTTACCCTCTACCTTTGTTTTTCTCTGTCGAGGAGTAGAGAAATATTTTGCCTGGGACATTTCCACCCACTTCATAAACCTCTCTGTTATCTGAGAGTATCTGCCATTGATTTACCTGCGCACCTTCATCTGTCGTGCTCTTTTTGTCGCTGACGCGCGCATGTTGAAAACTCAATGAGCTGATGTTCGCATGAATGTACTTGTCTTGATCACTTACTCGTACTGTAGTGTCGAGGTCCGAACATTCATGCTCGTTGCGCTCGTGCACATGGTATCGCCAGATGCAACCGGTAGACTGTCGGATTTGGGTGCCCTTTGACTCGGATGACCACTTCGACGGGCGACATGTCGATCTTTTGAATGGAGTGTCCATGGCACATGTGTCACAAGCTGTTCCACGACGCTTTGTGGTTGTTAGAGACCGACGAAGGCTTCGGTTCATCACCTATCACGGACACAACGTAAGGCTGCCATAACTTTATTTTGCCAATATATTCTTTTTTTTCTAACCCTTCCTTCAACGCCTTCCCTTTGGTGAAAGTGAAACATGTTCAAGGTGAATTTCTGCTGCGTCGGACTTTCTCCCTCTCAGCGCATGCCAAAAAAAAGCATGATGCACCACACCAACGTTAGTTCGACTGCCAGCGTAGCGTAACTAGGAACAGAGAGACCCCAGCAATACGTTCTCAGCAACATCATCGTCATGACCGCCGCATAGTACTTACAAAGAAGCTCACATATGCCGGACAACTGGCTGGGAAAACGTAGCAAAACAAGAATTTTCGAGTTCCACAAATCAACTCTCAACTACCCAACTTGATAACCACTACTCTAGTTCCATCCGTCTATCAGGCTTCTCAACCCCCGACGCATGACCTTTTTGGTTTAATGACCCTCCTTTTCCAGAGCCTCCAGCTCCTTAATCACAGAGCCCTTGGTGGCGATCTTCTTCAACTGGGTATCCTCCAACTTCTCGCCACCAGCATGTCTCATCTCGAGATCCTCAATAGCGCGGATCTTCTTCTGGAGAGACCTGATCTTCTTCGCATTGGCGCTCTGGGCAGCCGCTGCGGCGGCGTCAACGACTGGGGTAGCCTGTTGAGCAGGAGCATTGGGCTGGCGCACGTTCGAGCGGCTGCGGTGGTTGTTTTGGGTGCGGACAGCCAGGTTGTTGCTGCGCGACTGGCTGCGCGAGTGGTGACGCTGGTGGTTGCGATCGGGGCTGCGGCCGTCGACAGACTCGCGGGGAGGGGCAAGACCACCCTCGTTAGGAGTAGTCGCGCCCTCGCCCTGTGCCTGGCCCTCCTTGGCCTTCTTGTTGCGCTTCTTCTTGTTCTTCAGGGCAGTCTTGGACAAGTTCTCATCGTCCACAACGGCGCCGGGAACAGAAGGTCTCGCCGGCTCGGCAAACTCGGCGCCAGGAATCTGACGGCGCGGGCGGCCGAACCCATTAGGACCGACCTGAGGCACGCCATTGCTGACCGAGTGTGCAGCACCTCCCTCATCCTCACGCTTGAAGTGAAGAGGAGTGGAAGAGCCACGGGCGCCGGGCGGGCGGTAGGCACCGACGGGCTTGGAAGGCGTCTTGACAGTGCCAAGGTATGCCAAAGCCGAAGGGTGAGGAGTGGGCACGGGGTGCAGCGGGTCAACGTTGGGGAGGTTGTTAGCAGGAACAGGGCGCCAGATAACGTTGTACAACTCAACCATGTCCTCGTTATACATGATACCGCCACCAACGTGCCAGAGCTTGATGCCGTTGTCGACACGAAGACGGGGAGAAGTAGTGGCCGTCAAGATGTAACGGCTGTCGGGAGACCAGGTGCAGACACTGGGGTTACCGCTTTCAATAGTGGTGATCTTGCGATAATCCTTCTCAAGGTCGTAAACATCGATCTGACCAGCCAAGTTACCGAAACCGGCAACCAAGGCAAACCGGCCAGTAGGCGAGAAGATGATGGTGTTACGGGGGCCAAGAGGGAAGGAGTGGGTGGCGACGGCGCGGTGGTTGAAGATGGTGGTTTTCGCGGGCATGTAGCCGTATACGACACCGAACTCCTTGGAGTTGGGGGACCACGACACATCGTGGATAGGGCCCTCCTTGTCAAGAGTGACGCGAGCGTCGAACGAGCCGTTGGCGCTCAGGAGGTACATGTTGGTCTCGCCGTAGTAGCTTTTGTTGGACTTGTCAACCTCTGTTTGCGCCAGCACAATCAGAGCAGTTCCGAGCTGGTTCCACTTGAGCTGGACTTTGTCGGCCTTGAAAAAGGTCTTTTGCGAAATCGGGCTGGTGAACTGGGGAACGTTGAAGACCTTGACGGAGGCGGGATGTCCCTGTAACCAAGAGTTAGACGTTGATAGAGAAAAGTGCGATGCATACGGGAGATCAAGTAACGTACCTTGCGCTCTGGGACGAAAACAGCAACGTTCTGGTTCTTGCCGGGCGCGAGGGCAAAGTCGGAGACGCCCTCAACGCGCAGCTTGTTCCACACGGTGCCGAGATCGTTGCTGTTGTAGAACTGGACCTCGTTGGTGACGATGCGCGCGCAGAAGCGCTCATCCTCCGTGTACTGCAGGTTCCAGCCATTAGCAGACTTTTGGACGAACTTGCCAATGGGCTGCTTCTCAGCACCATCGGCGAGCTCCTCAATGGTGCGCCAGATCTTGAGATTCTTGGTAGCATCGCCATTCTCATCCTTGGCGGGGCGCTCCCAGGTGCTCAAGTAGGTACCGTGGGGGGAGAAGCTGAGTTCGTAGACGGCAGGGATGGGCAGCGACGTCAAGACGTGGCCGACGGACGCGTCGACGATGACGACGCCCTCGTTAGTGGCGTAGGCAAAGTAGCGGCCGCATCCCGAGTAAACACAGCACCGGAGATTCCCTTCGGGCTTGGTGAATCCAGGAAGGGCTTCGTAGACAGGGTCGGCATCAAAGACGCCGATGGCCTTCTGGGTTCGGTAGGCGAGCTGCAACGGATTGGCCATGACTAGCGAAAGTCACAGGTGATCGCGGTTTGCAGAAAGCGGTGTGGGATTCGTTTCGTTACCTGGCTCCTTTTCCCGGGGGACTGGAGTCGTCGCTGCGAGCAAGAGGCGGACCTTTGTTTTTCGGTGTTCGAAACGGGTCACGCTTGATGTCAAAGCTGCGAGAGGCGGAGCTCGTAAGCTTTGGTTGTGTGTTGGCGAAGGCGGAGTTGGGGGAGTATCGATCTGGCGCAACACAACAATGGTGATTGCGCAAAGGTAGAAACTCGACTAGCAGAAGCAGAGCAGAATTCGACAGTGCAACACAAAGCGACGCTTTTTCTTGCTGAGTCCTAGGTGGTGGTGGAAAGCGACTCAGGGACGGGGGGGCGGGAGGCGGAAGATATCAGATCTTGAATCGCAGATTGCCAACGAAGGGAGACCGTGACGATGGGACAACAATGCGATGTTGCTTTGGACGACGGCGAGGAACAAAGGGCACACGCCGTGGTGGAGATCCAAGAAGAATAAAAATCGACCGAATTCAGGAACGTGAACGATGAAGAGAAGCACCCTCAGGGA